TCGCCCCTACGACTATGATGGATGCACAGGAGTGTGTTGGGAAAGAGTCACAGGAGAAACAAGACTAAATGTTGGTGACTCAGTCGGGTCCATTGGATTTGGAGAATCCACAGAGAAATTGACATAATTTTGTTTTAATCTAGCTGAATTGATTGAAGCTGTGCTAGGAGTAGATAAGAGGACCATCCATAGGTATTGTAGTTGCCATATAGGCACTGGGACCTGGTTCCTCCCTAGTCACCACAACAGAATCATGATTCATCGTGGAAGGATCTGCTGGCGGCAATTCGGCAGCGCCTCCCACGTCCTCGGAGCCAGATGCCACAAGTAGGATGGCAAGAAGGCTGAAACCCAGCAGTAAGCGATGAAATTATAGCTTCGTCATCGTTACGGCTCGATTTTTCAACACCATCGAATGCAACAAGAAGGAGAAAAATGCAAGGCGCGTCGATCGACCAGACTTGTACGACAAGATCCGAGCAAAAGATTTCTTGGTTGAAAGATACCTCAGTAGGGTCCAGGTTTTAAGGTGATTTTCAACTGAACACCAAAATCTCCCTCGTAAACCCAGGTCGAAGACAAAAACGCAAGGGATGTACATGTACCTCTAGCTAGAGTGGGATTGTCAGAACGAAACCAAGGTCAAGGTTGGACGGGTTTGCAGCTTGGTTGCTATCTGGCTAGTAGGCCTTTGGAGTAGCATGATATCCACAAGTTCTTGTACTAGTAGACTAGATGCTACAGCAGTCTTGCCTGCCTGAGAGTTGCGACAAACCCATACCAGTACACATACGTGTAGCTAGAGGAGTGCCAGTACGAGATTTGGGCAGTCAAAACAGTCGCCCAACAAAACACAGCCTGCCTCTGTGGCTCGCTCAAGCATTGGCTTGAAGTGGCGACCTGCATCCCAAGCGTCAATCAATCCAGCGACGAAGCAAGAGCTACCTCTTGTGGTTTCTTGACGCGCTGGACGATCCCAGCCACCGGTCTTGACGATGTGCAGTTCCGCCACTACCGGTAATAGCTACTGCAAACTCCTCCTGGGTGGGGTAAGGAAAAAGGTAAAAGCTTTTAGGATTCCATTCAATACTTTCGATGATCCATCCACCGCGAACTTCTTCGTATCTTGCTGTCGCGAAGAAGTTGTGCGTGTGATGATTAATGATTAGGGCTGATGAAGCGATGAAGCTGCTGACTGCTGATGATGCCTCGCCTGTCTTGCTGTTCCCACAAGACTTAGTGATCCCATGAACCCTGAAGCGAACGCAAGGAAGGGCCTGTGAACTTGGGAAGGGGAAGGGAAGAGAAAGTACGTATGCATAGTCCTGGACGGATAAAGTTTGGACACTGGGACTGGCAAAAGAAGCAGCTAAGAAGCATGGTGGTACTCAGGGGACTGGTGCCACAGAAAATGATGACACCGTGCACTCGAAGGTTTCTTCGTTTCTCTCGTAGCTACTAGCTACTCAGTAGCCAGGTAGTCTGGCTTGTAGACGACACGTACATACAAGGAACCATTATTTGTCCAAGGTCCAAGATTCAACAATTGGCAGCGCAGCAGGCAACTTCGTCAAGAAAGTTTGCAATCATCCCCGATCCCCGTGTGGCTGGCAGCTACTCTGGACTCTGGATGGTAGCTAATGCACCGTTTTACCTACTACTAGAGCGAGTAGCTCGTTGCTGCCTTTAGTTTTTTATGGCAAAATCTTAAGTTATCTGATGGCAGCTCGCTCCTACCTTGTAAGCATAAGCGAGGCCTGGCCAGTGCTACCGGCCGGTACATGTACCTACTACTAGCTAGTGGTCTTCGTCAGACTCTCACCAGGGTGTACCATCGCACGTTGCACCCAAAGCCATTTGAACAGACGAAGCGAAGCTCGGAGTCTATTGGGGGATTGGATCAAGTAAAGTTTGCTCAGCCTTACCGGTACCAGGTCATGGGCCTCTCCTCCAAGGCTCCATTTTAGACTACTGACTCGACTCTGAGCCTATCTTTAAAAAAATTCATGTTTTCTTACAAGAAATATCGTGGAACCCCACTTGCCAAAGCTCTGGCAATTATCAGACATCCCACACGAAGAGCTCAAGAGCTCTGGGGCTCTGGGGGTGCGAAAGTGCATACCGGTAGTCTGGCTAGGTGCTCGAATGGTGGTCAAAGGATCAAAGGATGCAACCGTCAATTAAAAGAGTAAGAAGTACGTCTACTTTTAGGGAAAAGGTGAATTATGTGAAAAACCAGCGCTCAAAGGGAGCTGCTTTGTGGTTGAACGTTGGCCACCGAAAGGCAAAAGGCAATTCTCAATCTACAAGCTATCTACAGCAGCTTCTATGTACTCGTACAGCAGGCATCGAGCATCGTCAGCTTCCACACATTCACAAGACCAGCTACAAGTGCAACAAGACCACTAAATAAATAAATACCAACGAGAACACGAGAACGACTCACTCGTGCTCCCGGTACCTGTTGTACCTTTACCAAATTTAATTGGCTGGTCAACTGGTCATAGCTAGCAGGCATTAACTACGATTTCGAAGTCAATTGTCCTTTCTTCTGATCGGAAACAGATTTCGGTTAGAGTTTAGCGTTTTTTTGTGCTGCTTGCGACCAGGTTCGGAATGCTCAGGTCCGGTACCAGGTCTGGTACTTACCAGGTACCAGGTACCAGGGACCAAAGACCCACAGTATTAAAATACAGAGAACCCGTCTGGAGGCGTTTGGCCAGTTCATCCCGAATTTGTTGCAAACATCTGTCAGCTCATCTGTCCTTCCGAAACAGCCAGACCATTGTTCCTTTATTGATGAGAGGGGTTCCCATTGATTATTGCCCGAACTATTTCCAGTTCTGAGAAGACTTCAAAAAGTCATAATTATTTGGATTGGGTTCCCTTTCTCATGCATGGCCACTACGTACTCTGGGTACCGTACTGTGAGAGTACGAGTACGAGCATAGCACGAGTCTCAGTCCAAAATCCAACCAGGTAGACTACTAGCATCTAGCATGTAGTTGCCAAAAGGGGTCCGCGACAACCTCTTCAAACGAGAAAAGAAGAAAAGAAGCAGGATCACTGCTGCCGATTGCCGATGTACCGCTTGCCGGTAATGGGCGCAGCTCCGGAAGCTCCAAGTGAAGAGGCTTCTAGCTAGCTCTAGCTGGCTATCATACTAGTAGGCTCTTACCAGGCTTTTGGCGATCATCGTAGTCAGATCTCTGGATAGATACATCTTGCCTTTGCGCTTTGCGACTGCTCTCATAACTTGGATCTGAAGCAGTTTGGAAAGCAATCCATCACAATATCTTTGATCCCTTTCAATACATTTACTGTCTGTCAAACAACTGCACAACCGCACAACCACCATGGACAATACTTCAGTGACGAAGGCTGCCTCCAACAGCGGGGAGATGGGTCGCAGGTACAGCAGAGGAAGAAAGAAGCCAAAAGTTGCCATTATCGGGGCAGGAGTGGCAGGATGCGCCATGGCAGCCGCCCTGAAGGACCAGAGGATCGACTTTGTGGTCTATGACAAGAACTCCAAACCAGGAGGTCTCTGGGCAGACAACTATCCTGGTGCAAAAGGTAAGCAGAATGAATGACTGCAGTCTGGCATCTGAAATGAATGATTCAACTCAATCCATGAACCTTTGCCTCACTCTCCCTTCTCTTCTCTTCTCTATCAGTCCAATCCACCTTTGAACTGTACGAGTATCCTTGCAAGAAGTTCCCAGAGCACATTCGCAACCGCAAGAATCCTCCTTCCCCTACGGCGGATGAGGTATGCACTTACCTCAAAGAATTCATTGAAGAAAAGGGGATGAAGCACAAGTTCAAGTACAACACCAAGATTGATGACATTCGACCCGTGTCCGAGGGTGAATGGACCATTGAATTTGAGAGTGGCAAGATGAAGTCGTTCTCATATGTCATCATCTGCACAGGAATTGTCTCGGTCAAGCCACGAATGATTGACATTCCCGGTGCCAAGGACTTTGAATGGAATGGTGGAGAGGTCATTCATTCTTCCCAGCGAAAAGGAGAGACGTTCCATTATGAAGACCAAAAAGTCCTCATCATTGGCAATGGCAAGAGTGCCGTCGATGCAGCAACCAGTGCAGCCTTGATTGCCAAAGAGCACGGGACAAAGCCTCCCATTCAAGTTGCCCGCAGGGCTGCTTGGTATGTTCCCCGCTTCATCCTAGGTTCCTTCCAATACAAGTGGGTCTTCCATACCCGCCTAGGATCCTCCCTCCTCCCAAGATATCACGAGACCACCAACTGGATTCTCATCTTCCTGCACTTGCTCTTTGCTCCTCTCAAGTGGTTCCTCTGGCGTATTGTAGAGCTGCTCTTGTTGATTCAATACTGGTTGCCTTGGCGTCTCCAGCCAAGACTCGGAACCATCCTACGGGGAGCTCTGGATGTTTCCGTCTTGATTACTGACGAGGAACATTTGCACCGGCTCCGCAGTGGTGAAATTGACATGAGAATCGCTACTGTGGAGCGCCTCACGCCGGATGGTAAAGCCATTCTGAGTAATGGTGACGAAGAACAGGTGGACACTGTGATTCAGGCCACCGGATGGAAACTTGGCTTTGACACGTACATGGACACTGGCTCCCTCATCCGTGAGCTTGATATCCAAGAAGACGGCCTGTGGCTGTATCACAACATCCTGCCTCCCAAGATCAAAGGCATTGCCTTTGTTGGCTCCAATACCCTCACATTCATGAACATTTATACCTCCTACATCCAAGCATACTGGCTGGCCGGATTGTTGGCCGGTGACCGGCCATGGCCCAAACGCGATCACATGATTGAGAAGGTGGAACAAGACAAAGCCTTCAAGCGACGTCTCTATCCGAACCATGTTATGCGTGCAGCCTCCATTGAGGCATACATGCAACACTACCATGATGTGCTGTTTAAGGAAATGAATGCCAGAAAGCCATTTACCAACTGCCTCATTCGGCCATTTGCAGATCTCGTTGTCCCAGTCACTCCGGAATTGATGAAGGGAACCCTGGAGCCCACCCGTGAGTCGAGACGAGAGAACCACATGAAACGAAAGCAAAGGAAAAGCTTGGAAAACGAAGACACATCAACGACAAAGGAGGGGGCAAGATCAGGGTTTCTGGCTAATCTGAGTGAAGAACTCGAACCACCTCCGAGGGCTACTGTGCCCGTGGAGCTGGCATAGTCTGGTTGTAGGAAATAATGTATTCAGGGAATCAATTTGTACGTATCCAAGTCTCTAGATAGCCAGTACTAGTAGCTTCTTAGGACGAACTAGCATCAGTAACTACTACTAGTAAGCAAGTCCCATTGACCTTTGTACCAGGTCCTCGGTTAGTTCAGCCATCCGGGATCTCGCGGCAGACGGTCGACGCAAAAACTCTGTCAGTCCGCACTCACTGCCAAGAAGATTCAACCTCCCCTGTTAGGCATTGCTAATATTGAAGAGACTGTCGTTGAGCTGGTTGGTTGATGGTTGGTGTATCGGTGAGCATACCGGTAGACAGAAATTGCAATAGTTGAGGGGTTTCCACTGCCATTGCTTTTCGAAGATCTGCCTCGAGCTCTGCCCTGTTCATCTTCCACGTCTTGCTTTTCCGTATCTGCCACGAAGAGTATGCATCGGAGCCATCATGACGAACGACACGACGACTTTAAAGTACAGAGTAATGCATAGTTTACTGTGGCTACCAGGTAGCTACTACTGTACTCTCTCGCTTGATTTGTGAGACCTAGGAATTCATGGTCAGCCAAGTTGCAAGATTGGCTGCCCATCCTGCGCCCTGCATTTGCTTCATATCGGCACCTCCCACATCTCGGATCTTGGGTTTGGGCAACACATCGAGAGCGACAAGCCCAGTCGCATTCTTTTCAGATGCGCTGTCAGCTACAGCAGGTTGACCTCGTTCAGTTCGTTCTCTTCGGTCCAGCTGCCTGGGTCGAAGCAACCTGTACCGGTAGCCTCCCGATCGCGATCCAAATTCCTTTCCCATCCATTCAGCTTCGTTGTGGCTAAGCTCAACCTAGACTCTTCCGAAGTAGCTACACAGGATGCGTACTCTCGTACCAGTTACAGCGTACCGTTGCTTTAACCGGTCGGGGGTCCTATGAGATCATGTATGTCTTGCCATGTCGCTCGTTTGTCCTTGGCTGCTCAAAGCAAGAAGACGTTCAACAGTTTCTTGTCTCGTATGGTGTCATGTTGCACAGTTGTCGGTACAAACAGATCGCGTTGCGTCGCGTCGCGATCTGATCCAACCACTGGTGGCTGCTAGCTCATTCTTCCCCAACGTGACAGATAGCAGCAGCCATGAGCAATACCCAGTCACTCAACCGCGACGAGGAGACTCGGAGATGCACCTCGGGGTACAGTCCCCTGGCTAAGGTAATCTGATTAGTTCCTTGTACGACTGTATAGCTATATTTCTCCTTTGCACCAGAAAGGTTTACATCCAACTCTCAAGTCTCTTTGGAACTTTTCGATATGTGTTGTGAAGTGGTTGTCGAAACCAGTGTCAATCCCGTCGGATCAGTCACTGCAGGTTGCCGTATCCTGTCACGGTTTGGTTCATTCCTGCTTGCTTGGCACGTGGAAACACCCACCAGGAGACGGCCAACAGATTTCAAAGGGTTAGATGAGCTCACAAAAAACAATCTTCAACAATTAACAATCAAACAAACAATCAATCAAACAAACAATCAACAATGAGCAGCAACAACAACAACAACACAGCAGTAAGCATGGGATCCCCAGTGGACACTGTGAAGAAAACGAAACAAGGTCACTCTTTCCTGGGTTGTCTCTGTGACATGAGAAGGGCTGTCATCATGCTTGACACACTTGGCATGATTGGAAGCATCATTGCTCTGGTGGCTGTGATTCTCTATGACAAGTATGGATCAGAAGAGGATAAGAAGGCTTTGATGCTTGAGAACTATGATCTTGGCGCTCTTATTGCTATTTACAGTGCTGTCATCATCTGTCACGTCAGTGCAGTCATTGGTGCCGTCACATTCACCATTTGCCCAATTTTGATCACCATTGCTATGAACATTGCCTATGCTGTGATTTCTGGCTTGGACAAGAACTGGATTGGTCTTGGTATCTACATCTTCCTCCTGTATCCCCATGTCTTCCTTTGCCAGGAGCTTGCCAAGGGCACAATGACGAGGGAGAATTACCGCGGCCAAGAGCGCCAGTCTTGTTGCTGTGTATAGAGCATGAGGGCAGGATCAACAGTGAGAGTATCTGTCCGTCCGTGTGCAATATTTCCATAGAACTGAAGCATCATAAAAATATAGAGAAATGATTTCTTAGAGACAATCACCTGTGCTTTGGGAACTCAAAAGGCGTCAACGCAACAGTAGATGGAATTGGTACCATGCTCGGAAAAGGTTAGACTGCCCACATGCGTTGCTTCACGCCTGCGTTGCTTCCTTCAGATTACCCCCTTGTCGTCGCCTCATCGTTCCCAGCCAAAGCCGTTACGCAACCTTTTGATTACCCTGTCATTGCTATTGGCAGTCGTTGCCCCCGTCGCTTACACGTTATGGTGGATCAGGTTTCGAAAGAGCTGGGATATTATTGCCGCTTTGCTGGCTAAATGGCCACCACGAAAGAGACAAGCTATAAAAATCGAACACGAACTTTGTCTTTTTAGGACCTGACGTCAGCGCTGTTGACACCTTTTAGGAGTTAGGAAACGGCCGCACCGGTGTTGGCATTGGATACAAAATGCCAGAGTCAAGAGGCGGTGAGTGAAGCGTGGGAAACTGCACACTCCAGTCTGAAGACATTCCATCTGAGAAAGCGCCGAGCTGGCAACTGCCAACGGACCTCCTTTGGACACCAAGAGACCATTATTGCAACAGAATCCAAGCTTGCTTGTTGGCGTCGCCGTTCAACACTGATTCAATCGATCCAAAGATTTCTTTCTGTTGCCAGCAGTTTGGTAGCTTGGCAACCAAATTTCCTGAAGAGAGCAAAGCTTGGCTGCTTTCTTAGCTAGCTAACTAGCTTTCCTTTCCTCTTTCCCCCACTCATTCAGATTGAGCAACAACAAACAAACAAATTCCTTCGCAGACCTTCAGAAACCTTTAAAAGAAGACTATCTAGCTAGCTAGGAGCCCAGTTAATTTCGAATGCTATTATCAAGATGACAACAAGCAATAGAAGTACCAACTCCAGTATGGTGTCTCTCAGGTCTGCTGCCACCACCATGGCGGTAGCGAGTTTGTTCTGCCTTGGTGTTGCGTCTGCCTTTACAGCGGCACCGTCACAGTCATCGATCCTTGGGGCGGGTACCAACTCTCTGTTCCAATTGTCAGTGTCTGCAGCCGCCGATAACAGCATGGACTATGCACAAGTGTCTACCAGCAGTGCCCAACCAGTACAAACGAAGAAGAAACAACAACGGCTAGAATGGGATTGGAGGACGGTCGTACAAGAAGCCTGGAAGATGGACTCACGGCCGATAATAATGTTTGACGGAGACTGCAATCTGTGCAATGGTGGGGTCAATATGCTCTTGGATTTGGATACCAACAACGAATTTCGATTCTGTTCGTTATCGTCCAAATTTGGACAATCCCTCTTGGTGGCTCATGGCAAGGAACCCGATGACCGGGACAATATTCTTGTCATTGAACCATTACCACAACAACAATCTTCTTCTGACGATGCTACTAACATAGTAGTCCAATCCCACTCGTTGCAAAAGAGTCAAGCCGTCATGGCCATTGTGCAACGCCTCGAAGGTGCTCCGGCGTGGGTCAAGGCAATGACCAAGGTGGGAACCGTCGCACCCTCACAAGTATCCGATTGGTTTTTGCAGCTTGTGGCCGACAATCGGCACACCATTGGTGATGCCATGGAAGAGGATTATTCCTCGTGTCGCATTGATTTTGATGGAGAATACGACGGACGATTCCTCAACGATTACGAACACACACATTTGTTCGAACCGTACAATCCAGAAGAAGATATCAAGAAGAAATTCAATGATATCATATTTAGTTAATTCTATTATCAAGAAGAAAGGGAGGACTATTGGTTGGTTGGGTGGATGGATGGATGGATTGGTGGTTGGTTGGCGAGGACACGGGTCAGATGGGAGAAATACGCAAGAGACTGATGACTCGAGAGGCAGCGAATCGAAGCGATCCAGGAAGCAAGAGATTTCATTTTATGCATGCGAATAATGAATTTGATGACAATAAGGAATCGATGACGAGAAGAGAAACACCGACAAACGGCACTACACACGACGGAACCGTACCGGTCTATACGACTGTTGTAACAAAATAGCTAGCACCTCGACAATCATTTATTTGTTGTTGGAGGACTGTAAGCAATCAAATAAAAATACTGCACATTTGTAAATCAGGAGAGGCTCAAGGTAAATTCCGGGCTGATTGTTTGGAAGGAGACAATGTTGTGGATGAATGAATGGTTCCCATGCGTTTTGAACTGAGGCGAAATTTTAAATAGGTAAGAATGCGTCGCCTCGGGCACCAACTATAGCCACATGTTCCTCAAACAGACTGCGGTTCTCTTCCCGCCGTGCAAAGACCTGACAAGCAATGCTGCGTCTTGGCTTGCCTCAGTAGTCTTGGACCGTGGCTCCTGGCAACCACGTACTAGTAGCAGGCTGTTATCACGATACAGGTAGGGCTTTGGGGTTATCTTTCTATCCTACGCCACAGGGCTCCCCCGTTTTGGATTCTGGCCTTTGAGCCCAAGCCGAACCACGACACCTCATCACGTTGCATTCTTCCACGCTCAAGAAGAGGAACTCAGACGGACCCAATACAATTTCACAGCGGAGTGGCTTCAATTGCTGGGAGGAAACCACTTGCCCAACCGGCGTTCACGCTACTTCTTCCTAGAGCTGCTTCGCGCCAATGCAATGTCATGCTTCTACCCTACTATCTTAACGTGACTGAGGTTCGTCCTCGTTACGTGCAACTCTGCCAGTAATGGACATGTATGTAACCACCATCAAAGGCGACATCGGCTGGACGCTCGCGGGGACTCCACGTTCCACGTTGTAATGCATCGTGGAATTCTTCGCCAAACCCAAAACGACCGTCAACCCCAAGAGATCACAAAAGATAGATTGCCCGAACGAAAGGCAAACAAAGCAACAGAAAAGCTTCAAGTATACATCATCATCATCATCATCCAGAGCCACCATCTTGCCATCATGAGTTCCGAGAACAGGAGCCCCAAACGGCAGAAACTGTTGCCAAATCTATTGACTCTTTCTTGGAAGAGACAGACATCTGGATTGGGAAGATTCTTCCATTCCTGGGCATGGGACAGTATGCCTTTGTAGGTGGTGTCAACAAGAAACTAAATCATCTGTACAAGGAGTATTGTAACAGTGTGGAGAGTCCTCCAAAAGTAAGGGACGAATGTAGTGGGAAGCGCTCAGCAAACAACACTGACACCATGTACAGCACGGCGTTTTACAATATATCATGCGCAGAACATTGGTACTGTAACAAATCAGAAGGCAAAGCTCTTGACCAATACATGTACTGTGTTTGCAAAGTCATTGCCAGGGTTGGCAGTCTCTCGGTTCTTCGGTGGGCTAGAGAGAAGGAATTTCCGTGGGATGATGAAACTTGTAAAGCAGCTGCTGGAGGGGGGCACTTGGAACTCTCAAATGGGCCATAAAATGGCTGTCCATGGTCTGAGGGCACATGTATAGCAGCTGCTGGCAATGGTCATTTGGACCTTCTAAAATATCTCCGGGAAACAGACTGTCCATGGGACGCCAACACTTGCAATTCTGCTGCTAGAAGGGGGCATTTGGAAACTCTCAAGTATGCCCATGAAAAGGTGTCCATGTCTGGGGGCACCTGTGCAGCTGTGCGGAGAATGGTCATTTGGAAGTTTTAAAATATCTCCGGGAAAATGGCTGTCTATGGGACACCGATACTTGCACTTTTGCTGCTGGAGGTGGACATTTGGAAGTCCTCAAGTGCCCATGAAAATGGTGCCATGGTACTCGTACTTGCAATTTTGCTGCCAAGAATGGACACTTGGAAATCCTCAAGTGGGCCCACGAAAATGGCTGCCCATGGTACTCCAGTACTTGCAATGCTGCGCTGAGAATGGCACTTGGAAATCCTCAAGTATGCCATGAAATACTGTCCATGGATAAATGATGAAAAATGCTGCTAAACATGGCATTTGGAAGTCCTAAGTATGCCCTGAAAATGGCTGCCCATGGATGAGAGCACATGTTCATCAGCTGCTGAGAAAGGGAATTTGGAAGTCCTCAAGTATGCCCATGAAAATGGCTGCCCATGGGATGAGAGCACATGTTCATCAGCTGCTGAGAATGGTCACTTGGAAGTCATCAAGTATGCCCATGAAAATGACTGTCCATGGTATGAAGACACTTGTCAAGTTGCTGCGCAACAGGGAGAGTTGGAAGTCCTCAAGTATCTCCATGAAAATGGCTGCCCATGGTATGATCGTGAAATATGTGCACTTGCTGTTGAGATTGGGGATATTGAAACGCTCAAGTATGCCCATGAAAATGGCTGCCCATTTCCTTGGGATGCATGTGAAGTTGCTGCTGGAGAGGGGCACTTGGAAATCCTCAAGTATGCCCATGAAAATGGCTATCGAGGGTATGGGGACCCATGTGCAGCAGCTGCTGAGTATGGACAGTTGGAAGCCCTCAAATATCTCCATGAAAATGGCTTTCGATGGTATTTGTCCACATGTTTAGAAGCTGCTAGAGAAGGACATTTGGAAGCCCTCAAGTATGCCCATGAAAATGGCTGTCCATGGGATAAGGACGTATGTAGCGTTGCTGCTATGAATGGACATTTGGAAATCCTCGAATATCTCCAGGATAACGGTTGTCCGTGGCATTTGTATGGAGAGTTGGAAGCCATCGAGTTCGCCCTTGACCATGGTGTTGAGTGGTACTGTTTTATAGGGTGCCCTCGTAGTGAATGGCAATACTAGCAGTAAAAAGGGGACATGTGGGTACTCCTGTGGTTACGAACTAATGGTTGCCCCGAAGAATGAACTAGAATAAGTCCTAGTAGTGAGTAAGTATTTGACTGCTGTCTTATTTATAGATTCCTACTTATCCACTGTCAACTAAATAACTAGCTACTAGCTAGTACCTTAGAAACCAGCAGCGACACCAGGATCGGCAGCTTCCATGGCAGGAGCAGCGGGCACAACAGCCGCAGGATCGACCGGAGCCGCAGGCATGGCAGGATCCACAGCTGGAACGGCAGCAGCAGCGGCTCCCTGCAAATAGGCCGCCTGCTGTGCCTGTTGTTGCTGTGCCGCCGCTTGCGCCGCCAACATTTGTGCCGGACTGATTTCTTCCTTGGGTTCCATAATGGTGACAACATCATCGAGTGGAATCTTGGGTCCCTGTTGTCCTTTGGGATCGTGTGGCAACATGATACTGACCTTGATTCCAATAACACCTTGACGCATGAGTACATGCCTGACCGCCATATCGGTGTAAACTTGTCCAGCATGACCCGTCTTGATCATGTATCCATCACCAAATTTCATGGCTTTGGCACGCTGTCCACGCAGTTTCCCCGTGACAATGACTTCACAACCTTTGGCAGAAGCTTCCATGACGAATCGAACGACACCATAACACGCACGACGCACGGCCAATCCACCGAGCAGTTTGAATTTGAGCGATTCGGCTTGAGCTTGCGCACAGAGACCGCGATTTTGAACGCGTTCGGCATACAGCTCGACGGCACCTTCTTGAAAGTCGAATCGTTTTTGCACGATACTCGTCAATTCGCGAATGCGACGATTGTTTTCTCCCAACACATTCTGAGTACGCGTGGCTCTCAAAATCAATTCGGTGCGGTGGGGAGTTGTACGGACTTCGACTCCGGCGTATCCGTCTTCGGCCAATTCCGAAGTAAACAACTCATTGAGTTCCGCATAGAACACTCCATCGGCCACAAACTTTTTCTTGGTCGACAAGCGACGGTTGGCAGCGCCTCCACGAAGAGCCATGGTTGATTACTAGCTAGTTAGTTGAGTAAAGGAGAAGAAAAGAGTCAACAACAACAGTTGATGAAGCGACAATGGTGCTCCGTCAGGTTGCTTCAAGAGATGAGGAGGATGAGATGCATGATGCGGTGGGGTGGAGGGTGGGAAGCCACGTAGAATGTGTACTGGGAAGTTGCGTAGAAAATTTTAGTAAGAGAGAGATGATGGTCGATCAGAGTTAAGGTTCACCCTAACCTTACTGTAGTTCGTCATTACCTCTTACTAACAATTTCAAACCTCACTCCACACACTTGCTGCTGTCCTTTGTCTTTCCTTTGGCACCCACCTTGACCCCCGTTGTTGTTGCCGTCGCTACTTCTCCTTCTTGAGGTACGTTGTTGCTGCTCTTGACCATGGCCGTCAGGCATACACATCCTTCCTTGTCTTGGTCTGGTTAGACTTAAGCAGATCCCTTCTTAGCATCCCTCTCACTCTTGTTCCTCTTGTTACCCCTTCTTTCTTGCTCCATCCATCTATCAGACAAGTCACCACATATAGTTAGTTATTTTTAGTTACAATGAAGTACTCTTCGACTGTCACGGCAAGCCGCCGCAAGAACCGCAAGGCCCATTTCGGAGCTCACTCGGAAGCCCGTCGAAAGATGATGGCCGCCAACTTGTCGAAGGAATTGCAGGCGAGACACAATGTCCGATCCATGCCCATTCGTCAAGACGATGAAGTCTTGGTCACACGAGGCATGTACAAGACCCGAGAAGGCAAAGTTACGGCTGTGTATCGTAAAAAATGGGTCGTTCATGTCGAACGTCTCGCGCGTGAAAAAGTTCATGGCACGTCCGTTCCAGTAGGAATCCCACCTTCGTCGCTTGTCATTACCAAACTCAAAATGGACAAGGATCGCAAACGTCTCCTCGAAGCCAAAGCCAACAATAACAACAAGGATGGAAAGAAAAAGGAAGATGTTACCATGAGTAATGTCGATTAAACAATCTTTACAATACCAAAACAAACAATACAAAACTAATAGTAGTTGGGCGGAGCTTTCAATAAAGTCAAAATGATCAAACTGAAATATCTAGATACATGTAGACTCTCTATTATAGTAAACAGTCACTACAACAACCCAGCGTTACAAGGTTCTGTACTGGTAGATAGCATCAGATGGTTAGGTGGTAGCTAGTTCCACTTTGGTCAGCTCCAACAGGCACTAGCTAGAGCTCTCAAGAGGTAGAGAGATTAGCTCTTCCTTGCCGCCCGTAATTTGGGCTCCCGTAGTGGCATGCGGAGGAGATTTTATGGCTCGTCACGAGGCTGGAAGACTAAAGCTACACTACTCAACGAAAGAGAGCCTCATCCATTTTGTACCAGGACCAACGGGCAGAATCTGTTAACAAAAGGAGCTACAGGACAGAGGCGAAAGATAGATTGCTTGGCTGGAACGCACCAAAAGTCATCAAAGCAACGCGCCTCCATTGATCACTACATGTATTGAAGCCACGAGCAAGCTGTGGCGTGACCAAGCAACCAAACGGCTAAGAGAACGGTACGGTACGATATCGGCAAGTACCTACCGGTAGCTATAGGTACTATGTTAAACGATGGCATGCCCATGCATCCAAAACTTGTTGTCTACTTCCTTTAAACAAACGTTCCTTCACCACCAACATTTTTTGGTTCATCCAAATCCCTTGGGAGGTGCCGATCCGGGTACTTCCCATCCATCATAATCATCATCATCCGTGTCATCCTCATCATCGGTCCCCACAGCTTCCAATCCAACTGCCAAATCCGGATCGAGAAATGCCAAAAAGGCGGGATCTTCGGGTTTGGGAGGAGGAGGTGGTGGAGGTGGATTTTGGGCACGACGCAGTGCCTTGAGGCGCTGTTGTTCTTGTCGTTGGGCTTGTCGGAGTGGCGATTCACTCTTGCTTTTGGCAGGTTTGACAGATAGAGTTCGACCCAAAAATTCATGGCCCTGCAGTTCTTGCAAGCACAACGTGGCAAAAATAGGTTCGGTAAATCCCACAAATGCATACCCCTTGCTGTCTCCCGTCTTCCAATCTCGAACTATTTGAATCTTGGCAATATCCCAGGGAGTGGCAACCAAGGGGAGAATCAATTCTCGTAATTGGTCTTCAGTAGTGGTAGTATTCAAATTGCCAATGAATATTTTGGTAGGATCGGCATACCGGAGTGTTCCAATCTTACCGGCTGTGGAGAGTCGATGCTGATGATTGGTCAACAGATCATTCGATGCTGATAGTTTTTTCGCGGAGCGTTCTTTGGATTTCTTGGTATTGCTGTTGTTATTGCTGCTGGATTTCTTCTTGTACTTGTCTGCACTAGTCGCCCGTTTGAATCCAAAGAGAACTGTAGATTGTTGATACTTGAAAGGACAGGAATTGTATTGGACAAAGGAAGAAACCACAGGAATCATCGTCATTATCATAAGCAGTAGTAGTCTGGAAGAAACTCCAACGCCTGATCTTTGTGGGAGCTTCATGGTGACGTTCGGATTCTTCTGTACGTTCGGTAGCAGCCGTTCCAAAGGGAAACAAGTCCCTCCTTCTTCCTCTCCTCTTAATAAAATAAAAGATGCAACCTGATGCAGCACTCTCTTTCTTATTCAGCAATGGACTTGTTGGCTTTCGAGACGATGTAGTGCGAAGTCTGTGGATCTATGGATGGGGTTGGTTTTTTGTGTTGTGTGAGCTGCGAGATGAGTGGCGGCAGCTGAATGGCGTCAGTCATCAGTCACGAGTAGGATTTTCGATTCCATCGTCGATTGACATTCGGTTCGACGTCAACCGAGTCGAATGAAGATTCACTCGCACTGAAATGCACAACTCTCGCTCTATCAAGAAGATAAGATCAAACGAAGTGCATCCAACAGCTTTCTTCTATGCTTGCTTGCCCCTGAGACAATGTCGTTTCTTGATACTACTGAAATCATCGCAGCCTTGAAGACCTTTGTGGCACATCTATGGTCAGTATGATAAAGAACCCATACTTTTGTTCCCCCCAGAGTGAATTCCAGAGATTTTGGCGGCCCATCATTTCACTCCATTGGAACTTGCTCTATTTTCCAAGGCCAATTTGGAGACAGTCCAGAATATTTACCGTGTCAATCCCTCTGCTCTGACGGCTGGATTGTTGCTGAACATTTGTACTTATGGTGCCAAACCCGGAGTTGTGAACAACTTGGTTACTCAGCAGTCCGACCTGGTCCAACAAGCGGGTCCCGAATTTTTTGGCATGGATCGTGACCCTTTTGTACGTAGGTGTGTAATGAAATGTAACAGTCTGCTGGCGGTGGCCTTGAAGCAAGGTCCAGGAGAAAATTGTCCTTTCTCAGAAGATTCCGATATTCTGAGCCTGGCTCAAGCCAATCCCACCACATTGACAAGCCCCCCAGCCTATCCTCAAATCAGAATTTCCATCCCGATCCGATGCGTTGCAATGGAGGTATTCCCGAGAACTCATGACAGCTGTCTTTCGGTTGTGTGCTCAAGAATACGCAGCACAACCTTTCTCCGGAGACAAATACACACTACTGTTTGATGATGCTATTTTTGGCCGCACAATTTTTCCCCCTCCAGGGCAACGGTTCTCTTTGAGATCACCGTATCCACCCCCCTTGCTCCGCACGGCATTAGATCTGGATTGCATCACTGCCATGTGCTCAGCAGGTCTGCTCAAGTATTTCAACACCAACAAATGTGGGCAATGGGAACCCACAGCGTTCCTGCAACTTGTCAAGTACTTCCTCAGCAATCCAAAACAAACTGTCCTCAACATGGGCGCTTTTCCAGACTCTGCTGCTCTGCACAAAGAAAACTTGCCTTCATTCTTCAACAATCCAACCTACAAGGCATTGTCGGAAAATTGCACCATTGCCACTGTTGGTTTGAATCTTCCCCCTAAGACAAATCCTCTGGCGGTGAGCTTTTTTCAAGATTCGGTCGCATTAATGCCTCAGCTGGTCAATCTGCTGCTGTGCCTCTCATCAGATGGTCTACAAATTGCAGCTCCAACCATCCGCCACCTCTTGGCAAAGGAAGGCACCACTCTGGTGGATCTGGTCACTCGCATCACCGAACACAACGACAATAGTAATAAAGAGCAGAGTCTGCAGGTTGTTCTGGAAGTGTTAAAGACCAACAAGACCCTCCAAAACTTTGCCTTTCGCAATGACCAGGGTCCAGCATTAGTTCAAACCTATGAAAAGTGCCTTGTCGATGTTCTCAAGACAGCAAATGTCACTCTCGAAACAGCCGAGTTCAGGAGCGAGGAGTACTGCAGTCAGCAGCTTCCCAGCAATGGACAGCTGGGCTACTACACGACGCTAAATCAATATGAAAGAGGGCTGCTACAGAAGATCAAAGAATGGAATCGTTTTGCTGCAATCTTGACTCGGGCGACCACCATTATTCGACAAGGGCGACCGTCTGATTTGGATCGAGTCAACATCACATTTGGCCTACTCATGGCTCAAATTCACTTCTTTACCGGTAAGTAGGACATACATATGGGAGAGGTTTTCATGTTTGGTTTTTGAGTGTATCATCGATGCAGCGGTCATTGGCTTGATGTTTGCTTTGCTTTGTTCCCTTACTGGTTTTGATTTTTTGCATTCATAAACCAAGCAGGTTCAAGCTCCCACCAAACACATCTCTCCCCACAATGATGACGATGACACTGAGCCAGAGCCCAAGAAGCGCAAGGTGGCCATTCAGCAAGAGCTGGCGTAGTCTGCGAGCTGGCGCAAAGTGATTTCCGAGTTTTGCAACTTTCCAGGTTCGCTCTGGTCGCTGTGGTGCGCGTTGGTCTGGAGGAATCAGACAGGTGGCCCCGACTTTACCCAAACAGCCACTGCGTTTGAATTTCTGCGCCATGCTTTCACGAGTTGGAATCTATTAATAGTCCGTACGGTATGCTGTCCCCGAAGAACCAAAAAACCGACGAGCTCGTGTGGGGCCTTGCAACGGATCCGTGTCGCCGTGGCCTTCCGGAAGAATTGGACTCACTGATGCGTCCTTTGCAGTTTCGACTTTTACGGAAATGGGGCCTATTCCACCTAGCTAGGTGGCGCCCCTTGTGGCATTGCATGAATACCAAGGAATTCATAGAATGGCATTGCGTACGAAATTTATGTTCGGGATGGTCAACGCCTGGAAGGTCGCGACTTTCAGGAAGCGTGCTCCGTTTCGGACAAGGCCGATGATATGAGCGGTGGTGGCTCGACAAACTGCACGTCTGGATGCCAACCAGGCGCCGCCAAGAGAAATAGTTTTGCACGCCTTATAGATTGACGCGAGGAGTTTTTTAAAGAGTCGTTTGAGTGCTAGTCCTAATAAAAGGATTCAGTCTAATACAATTATTATGCAGTGGTACAAAACACAAAAGAGAATGCAAAAGCTGATGCATACTAATAACAGACTGTCCAACACGTTTCAGCACTGCTTCACACCAGTGCTTGAGAGGCCAGCATCGATTTCCCCAAGACTCGTGCCCTGTGAGCCTGGCTATCATCAGCGGTGTGTTGCACCGTTTCTGTGCTTTTTCCTCTCTGGCGGTGCTGGTTGTTGCTGCTGGGCGCCTTTTCGTGCTTCTTGATGGTTGGGCGGGCAATAGATACCAACGGGGTGGAACTCTGTACATCATCTGTTCCTTTTCTTCCAAGCCCGGGGGCCAATTTTCTTCCAAAGCTTGATCCTGTAGATAGATTCTCTCATTCTCTCCGTTTGTACATTGTCCTTTTCCTCGTCTGCTTCACAATCCAAGTCGACTCGACTCTGGCAATCATTCATTCACTCACTTCCGTAAAAAAAGAAACTCAATCCGCCATCATGTGTGCTACTTCTATCAGATACTCAATTTCATCCATTTTGGCCCCATCGGCTCCATCGCAACTTTTCAAGACTCCCAAAGCCTCGGTAAACTTTTCAATAGCGGCATGGTAGTCTTCTTGCTTGTACAGGAGATTACCCACGGCTTCACAGATTTCTCCTTGCGTCAATCGAGCTTCGTTGGTGTCAATATCACTGAGGATGGAAATGGCCGTTTCAAAGTACTCTCGTGCCTTGTCAAAATCATTCGCATCGTCCATGACGGCGCCCATGCGACGATATCGGTCCGCCGTGTCAATGTGAACTCGGCCGTTCTCGTTTTCCAACATTTCCAGCGCTTCAAAGTGACACTTCATGGCCGCACCGTAATCGCCCTTGCGATGCAATTGACGGGCTTCGGCTGTAATGGATTCCACTGTGGTCATCTTGTTATTGATTGAAGGAACTCTTGCTTGGAATAAAAGTGCAGGTTACTGTGTGGTTGGAATGATTGATTGAATCAGGTAGATTAAATTTGCTCTGAGAAAAATTATGATGGCTCCTCAAATCAATTTCTGTCGGACTGATGCTCAGCTTCCTGTTTTTGTGATCGTTGATGACCAAGGAGACCGGAAGCTTTCGAATGTCTTCCATCAGGAGCCCATCAAGACACAACCTGTAATGTGATGTGATGATGTGATCATGTGATGGGCTTGATGTCTTTTTCTTCCCAAAAGTGACCAGATTCACTCGCCTGCTGCATCCCACTGACGTACATAAACGGTCACAACTGGTCACTGCTCCCCGTATAAAGACACTGCTTTGTTTCTTTGAGTACCGGTTAATAAGAAAGGGAGAAAGAGCACTCCAGCTTTTACTACAAACAGAGCCCATGCAGCAGCTTCTTTGTTGGTTCTTTAGAAGCCTGGAGATCATGTAGCAGTGGTAGCTGCGTGGCCACCAAACTGTCCAGTATCTAGCTAGCTAGGTCTAGCTGCCTTTTATTACGGTAGTACGTAGAACATCATCATCATCATCTTGTTCTTTGCGCCCTCTGGCAGCTGTGTCTGTCGTCTGGAGACTGTCTGGAGCCTGGCCTATCTATTACTCCACAGCAGCTAGCTACTCTAGCTGGGATCTTCTCAAGGTGAGGAGGAAGATTGCTGAGAGAAGTTTTTCCCAGTGACCGAGGGGAGGACGAGAAGGCCAAGACCTGCCTCTATGAACAAAGCATGCAAAGTACGTTTTCTCTGCTTAGTTGTTCTTTCAGATAAAGTACTACCGCACCAAGACCAAGCAAAGGAGGGAGCCTCTTTGAAGTTGTATCTTAGCAGCTAGCTATCTTAGCCATCTGCACTTTATCCAGCCATCTGATCGCGTGCTTCTGCTTGCGCCATTGCCGCTCAAGAACAGTTCTACTCCTAAAATTTAATGTACAACCGGTACGTGTAGCTACAGTACCGGTCATAGCAATGCCCTCTTGACGGAAAAGAGCACAGGTTGATGACTGCGGAGCACGCGTCACCTTTTGGAGGCGACCATGAGTTTTCGACAACGTCGAATTCCCGACCGGTACAAACGCGGACAACGGGCCACTACCTATGGATGGGCCCCACGGAATGGAGGTCGTCTCTCAATGCGGCCATTGCAGCCAGGAAGCGAATCCTCGAATCATGATTTTAGCTACTAGCTAGCTGAAGCGACAGCAGAAACCATTCAGAGAGGACTTGCTTGTTGCTCTTGGACTTCTCAACATCCCAGCAAAGCTCACAGTACTTGGCGTCACCACTCACCTCCGACTGTGATGATGTGCGTTGCACTTAAATTCGCTTTCAAGACGGGAAAAAAATTCCGTGTGATACCGTAGACACAAGCGTCGTGGTGCCGCCATCGTCGGTTCTTCTAAAGAGAACCAGCTTTTGAGTTATCCACGTCTGGCGCGTGATCCTTCGAAGTTTCCACGATGTCGTACCACACCGTCGCCACTTCATTCAAGTCGCCCAAACAGACCGCAGATTCCGTGGACATGTGGCTCTTCCTTCCAATGCCAGGAAAGGTTTGAAGAAAGCTGCGTTCCTGGTACAAACTACTGGTACAAGCGACATGAGCAGTAGGAGTGGTAACAACAATTGCACGGTTGCCTCCGCCTTCTTCCATGACCGGCATTCTTAGCTACAGCAGTCCCTCCACTTGCTTCAAGTCGCTCATGATACTCGGGAAGTTGGCACATCATTTACAGTGCTGCACTATGTAGTAGTTCTGTCAGCTACAATGGTCATTAGGCATGTGGATTCATCTATCTGGATTAGATGCTGCTATATGTTTTCTTTAGAGGAGCTACGGATTCGTCCGTGTTGCGGCGACAGCCAAACACCGGCAGCATGCGGGCTCGTGCGTGATAACCACAAAGGCGCAGAGAGCAATCAACACATCTCATCCTTCGGAATATTAGTCTTGATTGATTGAATTACTTTAAAGTTTTCTCGCGGGGCCCGCCCCACGAGCATTTGCAACTCATGCATGGTCGGTACCGTACCACAATTATCCACGTTCTGCATGGATGTATCGTAATGTGTGGCCATTCACGAGCTAGTTGCTGTACCAATACCAATACACCCGTACTCTTAGTTAGTAGAATCCGCGACTTCGGTGTGGGAGAGTAATGGGGCTTATTTTTGTTGTCTTGCTTCAGGGATATTTCAGTGCCAGCATAACGGTATCGTCGTCTCGTCCCTCCAGGAGTAAAGAGAACAAAGCCCGCTGTGATGATGGGCCCAACCAAGCATCACTTGCTACTGTATCGGTAGTGGGCTCAGCAAGAAAAGCTGGAACATGCAATGTGAAGGTCAGAGGCGACGTCGCCCACGTCGGTCTTGGGCCCTGCAATTTGGTTGCAGCAGACCATGGCCACCATGCACTCGCGATCGCGTTTGGAGACTGTCAGTCACTATTTTTTTAAAAGTGTGAGTTCTCTGGGATCTACGGGAATTCTACCAGTGCCGGTACCGTACAGTAGTAATTGCACACAACATGATGGACGTACGTCACCAAACACATTACCCCATTTACAAGACGCCCTTGTGGTGCGCTACATGTACATGTAGCTAAGGCAAAACTTGTTTGGCTTGCGTCGCTGACCTTCGAACCAGTAAAAGGCATATCCATCACCAGCTTGAAGGGATGTGGTAGCTGCTATCGATAATATCTACAGTTAGCGTTTTATGTTTGTGGGTAGACAAAGGGAAATCTAATGGCTGCAGCGGCAAGGAATAGCCAAAATAGCAAGACTTTCCGTAGGGTGTGTGGTGAAGATTGATCTGAAGCTGGTTTTCATTTGAATGGTATGGCTTGCAATATCTAGCGTTGGATCTTCAATATAAAGTATGTAGCGTAGCATGGAATGGAATCGTTGAAGCAAAGATTTCATCGTCGCCTTGACCAGTAGAAATCGATGATGAGGGGTCAGAGGTCCACCATAAAATGCATGCCGTGGATCTGACTCTGGTCCCGATCATAATCCCAGAAACTGAGCAGCAATCACCCAGGCAGATGATGTCTGCCACTAGCTAGCTAGGCGTTTATTGCTCGTTTTCGCGGGGTCTCTTGGGGTGCTCATTTAGATCCTTCTGGTTGGATGGATCGTGTTCTGGGTGTTTCTTGTAGTAATCAACTAGCTCGGCCTACAAACAAAGCAAGATGGACCATTGAAACATCCATACATCAACATGAGCAGCCGACAGACGCACGGACGGACCAACCATCACAACAAAACTCGATTTACCTTGGTGAGGAAACGACCTCCTGGACCCCGAGGACGCTTCATGGCATGCCGGTGTCTTGACTCATGCATGTAGGGCTTTGGGTCTTTGGCTTCCTGGACTGCTTTTCTGGCTCGTTTTTGTCGATAGTACTCTTCCAGCTTTGCTCGTGCTTCTCTCCGTTTCAGAATGCGTCGGTACTGTTTGGCATTGACAAAAGTTGGTCTCGGTGCGGCTACAGCTTGTTGTTGCTGTTCCGTTGCAGGATTAGCCATGGCAGGTGCAGCAGCACTAAACTGAGCCAAAGCGGCAAAAACTGGTCCACTGGCCATCCAAGTATTGAAAGGCTGGGCGGTTGTCGGGGCGGCTGCAGGTTGCGCAGCTGCTGGAGCCGGAGGAGGAGGTGTTGTTGTTGGTTGAACAAAGGCAGGAGTGCTGACACGCGCAAAGTCATGGAACGGAGCCGGAGCTGCTGGAAGTGGATTGTTTGCCAGGCATGGCACCGGAGCGTGCGCATCTGTCATCATGACGAGATACCGTACAGAATTGAACCCCACTAGCTAGTACAGTAGCAAGCCCAGAGGCACATCGAATCTATCTATCTATCTATCTATCTATCCACACCAAACAACAAAACCACAAAGAAAGCAGAGATGGGTGTCGAGGTTCGAGGCAATCAACGTTTGTTGCTTGTTCGAGGCATCAACGATTTGCTGATGTTCAATGAAGAAGTGCGAAGAAGTGTGCTTGCTGATGTTTTTTTTAAAACTGGTACAGTATGGCATACATGTACACTACAGTACGAAGCCTTTGTTTGATTGCATTGATGCACGCGAATACCTCTCCTTCCATTTCTCTGTGATTTAGGACGATTACCGAGAGTCTTGTCGTTCTTAAGCCTCTGAGTGCACCCAATTACAAAGTTGGTTCTTGATGGGTCTTTGATTGATTATACGGTATCCATTTGATTACTGAAGCTAGAACAAGAGCTTTTAAACAGTATGCATGCCCTTCCCCCAAGATTCTCCTCAGCACTCAATACTGTATTACTAGTAATAGTGATGATGTTATCTAATGGTTTTGAATGTTTGGTTCCGTGCGGCTAAGCTAAGGAGTGGTACATTTTGCGGTAATGGTACTGATCACTCCGCATCCTATATTGAAAAGAACAAGAGAGCAACTATAGTTAGACTGTCCTATCTTGCGTGACATCGAACCTTGCAGCACAGAGACGGGACCGCTCGCCCAGCCACCGTGCAACATTCGCGGGAGGAACGACGATGCGAATGAAGCCAACATTGCGCGCTGTTGATACGATCATCCCAGGATTGCACAACATTGATGGACCTTCTTCGGCATTGAGTGTGAACGAAGGCTTGCTGTGCTGCTAATAGCCAAACGGAAGTCTTGTGGTCACAAGAAAGTAGAAGTACTCCGAGTAGTCAATTGAATTTAGCAGGCGGAAGATAGTCTAGTGTGGGAAGTATCACTTTTAAAGAGCACCTGTTTCCTGCTGCAGTAGATACAGTAGATAGAGCACCATGCAGATCGCAAAGGGTGTCGAGGCACCCGTTGCCACCAACGGGGTCGGTGAGTAGAAGACGATGAGTCGAAGCAGTGTTGAAGAAGATTGTGAATGTGTCTTTCTAATTTCCTCTTGCTCTATTTTCGCACCATTTTTGTTTTGTTTTTGGTTTGGCCTCTGTTTGATTTTTCGACGGAATTGAATTCTATTGGATTCGCATCTACTACATCTACTCGACAACACACTTCTATATCTACTACTATGTCTACTACTAAACAGGCACAGCCAACACCAAACCACAAGAACAACCTCTACCTTCCGAACCTGGCGGCTCTCTGAGTCTGAGTTCCACTCACAATCGTCCTTCCAATGGCAGCGCCGCCCTGAATCTGAGTGCCCACAACGCGCTCAAACGCCACACTCGCCCTCGTCGTTCGCAATCGCGAGACGGTGGAATTGTTCCAGTAGCAACACCACGTCGTGTCAAGAGTTCCGATGGAACGCAACGTCGCATGTTTTCCGGATTGCGAGGAGGACGCAAACCTCAGCCAGCAGCAGCAGCTCCACAACCCGTCTTTGGCGTCGCTCCACTCGATGCCATGGTCGAACCAGCAGTACAAAGCCGCAGTTGCCCCAATACACCGCAACACTCCTTCCACAAACCTCGATCATCTCCTACTTCCGAAGGAGAAAATGCCAAGAATTTCGGACGCGCCCGAGCTACTGTCCCAGGTGCCGTCGCCTCGGCTACAGAGCCAACTCAGACGACACCCCAGCGGCACTTGTCGGGAGATTCTACACAGTCGGCCGCTAAAATGAGATCTCGTACAAGAGCCACTGCCCCGGGAGCGGTACGAGAGTCCTTGATGAAGGAACCCTCGACGCTCAATCAGTCGCTTCATGGATCGACTCTGATGAACACCCACCAAAACAATTCTACAACAAATAATGGCACTCCCGGTGCCGTGGCGGAATCGTCTCCACCCAGCGACGGAAAAATGCGAGGCCGCGCTCGAGCGACCGCTCCAGGAGCCGTCAGTTCCACCGCCGCGGCGGAACCCTCTCTGGGAGCGTCCGTGCACGGAACGGCACCGTCACTAGGAGTTTCGGTGCATGCGCCGCCACCGACATTGTCGGCGAGCATGTCGTTGGGAAATAATAATAATGACGGAAAAATGAGAGGTCGTGCCCGTGCCACTGCACCGGGAGCTGTCAGCAGTTCCAACACGACAGAGCCATCGTTGGGGGCTTCGGTTCATGGCGGCATGGCACCACCGGCATTGACACCCGGATATTCGTTGGGAGACGATCGGCGCATGAAATCCAAATCGCCCGTGCCGCATAGGTCTTCTGCATCCAAGTCGCCGGTTCGTCGTACTACAGGAGGAGGAGGAGTTCGCAGAGCCAAGTCGACCGATGGAACGGAACCCATTCGAAGAGCCACTGGGACAGGACCCCGTCGAACCGTGTCCAACGATGGGGCTGTGGAACCCATTCGAAGACCTACAGGACTTCGTCGCGCGACGTCCAACGATGGAACCACCGACCCGATTCGAAGACCCACATCGGCAGGACTCCGTCGTACCAAATCGAACGATGGAACTGCGGAACCGATTCCAAGACCCGCCGCGGTACGACGATCCATGTCCAACGATGGATCTACTACTGCGACGGAAGGAGATGGCAAAATTCGACGTGCGCGAGCATCGCAGCCAGGAGCTGTCAGTAGTGAAGGAGCGTCGGCGGCGGCAGAACCTGCCTTGGGGGCATCCATGCACGGCAATGGTATTTCACTCCAGAAAACGAGACGTTCCGTGTCACCTCCGCCGAATGGCATGGACCCACAGACGATTCGAATGCAAGAAATCATGCTGGACTCGTCACTATCACAGCCGGAAAAACAGGCCAAGATTCAGCAATTAATGGCGCAAAAGGAGGCTCCTGCACCCCAAGACCCACAAGCCATTCGGAAAAAACAGATTCAAGATATCATGAAGGACTCGACTCTATTCCAAACCGAAAAGCACGCCAAGATCCAACAGTTGATGGCCGGTGGCATGCCTCAAGAAGTCCCTCCACAAGAAGCAGCTGCTCCAGCGCAGCATGCAGCTCCGCGTCCCGTGGCACCGGCTCCTCCTGTCGTACTGGAAGATCCGCAGGCGATTCGTCGCAAGCAAATTCTAGAAATCCAACGAGATCCTTCGTTGACACCAAAAGAAAAGCAATTCAAGATGCAACAACTCATGGCTGGCGGAATGCCCAAGGCCGCCCCAGTAGTTGCAGCTCCTCCACCCCAACAAGAATCGGCTCCACCGGCGGAACAAGCTCCAATGGATCCTCAGGCGATTCGTCGCAAGCAAATTTTAGAAATCCGACGAGATCCTTCGTTGACGCCCAAAGAGAAGCAATTCAAGATGCAACAACTCATGGCGAGTGGAATGCCAAAGGAAGCACCCCGAACGGAATATGTGGAAGAAACAGTCGAGCCTCAAGTTCCACCGGCGGAAGTGCAACCGACACTGCAGGAAGTCACTCCAGAACCGTCCGATGATTCGGCCACGGGGTCGGATCTGGAAGAAGAGGATCCGGATGTCCTCCGAACCAGGGAGATTCAAGAAATTATGAATGATCCGGATCTGACTCCACGCGAGAAGCTCTTGAAAACGCAAGAAGTAATGGCAAATTCTCTGCTACCGCCTGTTGAGGCGCCGCGTCGACAGCCGGCTGCTCAGGAAAAGGTGGAGCGGACGAGCCGACGAGCGAGAAGCCGTGCCAATTCTCCTACGAACGAACAACGAGGTCTGCGCAGGACCAACACAAACGAGTCCGCACCGAAACCTACTGGACTCAGAATTCGTCGTACGCTCAGTAATGACGGAACTGCTCCACGCAGCCCTCGTCGAACGATGAGCTCTGACGGGAGCACCAACTCCCCTCGTCGCTCGCCGAGAAGATCCAGGTCGAGAGGCGGACCGACTAGCCCTGCTTCGCCACCAAACGTGCCCCTGCCTGGTTCGGATCTAGGTGAAGACTTGGAGGATTCGTTCTCGCGTCCGCTAGCGCCCGTGCAAACTATCGATGTTGCCAATACCGCCACGGTACACAGCACGCTCGATGCAAGCATGGGTAGCTTTCATGAAGAAGCAAACGATAGCTTCCATGAAGATTTTGCCAACAGCAAATCCTCGGCCATGGATGCATCAATGAATGCCAGCGCTCAAAATATGAATGGAAGTGCACGAAGCATAGGCAGCTCTCAGCGCATCAGCCGTCGGCAGCGTATTGCTCTTATGAATCCATCGACCCAGGACGAAGCCCCGCAGAGTTCTTCGCGTGCGGTGGCAAAGCCTGGGGCTGTTAGTGTTGTTGAGCAGTCCACCCCAGGGGCTGCCGCAGGATTCGGAGGTGCACCACAGGGCAAGATGCGACGTGTGACTAGTCGCGGCGACAGCAGGCCCGGAGCTGTTAGCATTGTGGAGCCTTCTTCCTCTCATACCAGTTCCTCTACTGGTGTGGGTGGAGCTCCGCAAGGAAAGTTTCGAAGGGCAGCTACAAGCCCTGCTACTCGACCTGGTGCTGTCAGTGTCGTTGAACCGTCAGCTGCTTCTAGCAGGCAAGCTGAACCAGGTGCTTCTGCTGGATTCGGTGGGGCCCCAGAAGGCAAGATGCGAAGAACCACAACAACCCCTGCTACGCGACCTGGTGCTGTAGGTGTTGTCGAGCCTTCTTCCTCTCATACCAGGTCCTCTACTGGATTTGGTGGGGCTCCAGAAGGCAAGATGCGAAGAACCACAACAACCCCTGCTACTCAACCTGGAGCTGTCAGTGTAGTTGAACCGACAGCTGCTTCTGGCAGACAAGCAGAACCAGGTGCTTCTGCTGGATTTGGCGGGGCCCCTGAAGGCAAATTCCGAAGGACTGCTACGACCCCTGCATCCCGACCCGGTGCTGTCAGTATGGTTGAACCAGCAGCTGCCTCAGCAAGTCAAGAGCCTGGTGCATCTGCCGGATTCGGCGGGGCACCCCAAGGCAAGATGCGAAGGACCACTACGACACCTGCCTCCCGTCCTGGTGCTGTCAGTGTTGTTGAACCAGCTGCTGCCAGCAATCATGGAGAGCCCGAAGCATCTTCTGGATTTGGAGGGGCACCACAAGGAAAGGCTCGCAGGACCACAAGTCCTGTTTCAAGACCAGGTGCTGTCAGTGTTGTTGAGCCATCAGCCCCAAACTCCTCCACCGGATTTGGTGGGGCCCCAGATGGCAAGATGCGAAGAACCACAACAACCCCTGCTACACGGCCTGGTGCTGTCAGTGTATCGGAACCGTCAGCTGCTGCCAATCAGGGAGAACCTGCAGCCTCAACTGGATTTGGTGGGGCTCCACAAGGAAAGGTCCGAAGGACAACAGCACCAACTGCCGTTTTCAAGCCTGGTGCTGTAAGTGTAGTGGATTCCACAGCACCAGAGCCTGGTGCTTCAACTGGAATTGGTGGTGCTCCCCAAGGAAAATTTCGAAGAGCCGCAACTACACCAGTGACAAGGCCTGGTGCTGTGAGTGTTGCTGAGTCCATTGCACCAGAACCTGGCGCCTCAACCGGGATTGGTGGGGCTCCACAAGGAAAAGTTAGAAGAACCACAATTGGTACCAATGCACCGGTTATGCCTGGTGCTCAGAGTGTTACAGGGTCTCAGAGCAATAGTTTGCCATCAGAATCTCTAGGCGTTGGAGGTGCACCACAGGGCAAGATGCGACGGTCTACCGCGCAAGCCAACACTCCTGGAGCAGTCAGCGTCCAGGAGCCAGCACCATCAGAATCCGTCGGTGTTGGTGGTGCTCCACAAGGCAAATTTCGCAGGTCTGCCAACAGTCAGGCTACAAGACCTGGTGCAGTTGGTGTGGTGGAGCCATCGTTGGAGTCGTCACACTCTGGGGCGTCTTCTAGCGTTGGGGGTGCACCACAAGGCAAATTTCGCCGGTCTACCAACAGTCAGGCTACAAGGCCTGGTGCTGTTGGTGTCGTGGAGCCATCATTGGAGTCATCACAGTCTGGAGCGTCTTCCAGCGTTGGCGGTGCACCGCAAGGCAAGTTTCGTAGAACAACCGCCCCCGCAGTCCCGGGTGCTGTGGCAGCCACTGACGATCCTATGGACAAAGGCTCTCAGCGTAGTAGTGTGATGAGAGCTGGTCCTGGAATGCCTAGGCAAGTTGTTGGAATGTTCAACGAACCGCGAACTCTGGTCCCTGCGGTCTCGGTGAGGTCGATGCAGGCGAGCGAGCATGATAGCGTCGTATCGTCCACGACTGGTGCGTCATCCATGTTGCCTCCGCTGAAGGGCTTCGGGGATTCGGAAGAAGATCACGATGCTGTTATCGCGTCAATTGAACAGGATATGGCGGCCAAGAACAGGGCACGGCGGACGTCGGCCGCTACTCCAGGAGCGCAGTCGGTGGCGTCGGACGGAGTTTCTGCTACCGACAAGGAATCTATTGCGCAGGCTCGGGCAGCAAAAACTGTCGAGCGAATGAACGATTCATTCCGTTCTGACGGTAGCCATGGCAGCCACAGCCAGAGAGGTCTTGCTGGGAATAGGGCTCCTTCTAGCAGATTTTCTCTCGACCGTTCCGACGGTAGTCATGGCGGCCAGAGCCAGAGAGGTCTTGCTGGTAATAGGGCTCCTTCTAGCAGATTCCCCTACGCAGGTCCATCAACAAGAGGCCTCGGCAATAGATCGTCTGTACGCAGCCTTGCGTCGGAGGTTTCTGATATTACCGAACCAAATGCAATTCGTCGGCACACGAACCGATCGGCTCCTAAGGGAGGTTTGCTAAACAGTTCGCAATCATCGTTTGCTTCTAGTCAGATGTTCGACGGTCCCGACCCAGCGGCTGATTCCGAAGATGAAGACGATTACGACCAGGCTCTGGCGCTTGCAGAAGAAGACATGCAACTCAAGCTCAATATGCGAAACCAAACTGAACGAGCACTCGTGCCAGGCGTGCAAGCTTACCGTGCAGAAGTGGTGACTGCCCAGCCACACCTCCATCTTGAAGACAAAAACATGCTGCTCCGAAAAGACCCTTACGATTACGAATCCAAGGCACTGGTTCCGGCTTACGACAACAACGTAGACCACTCCATCCAGAAAGAAAACATGAAGATTGTCTCTGAATCAGCGGCCCAACCCCCCTCCACGATGCAGGATAGGATGGAACAGAAAATCTTGCAAATGGAACAAGAACAGCGAGCACGAGATGTCAAGCTCGAGGAGTTGGAGGATATGAACCATCGACGCAATGGCCCGGATAGGAGGAAGATCTCACCAAATGATGGTTCAAGCCCTTTTGATGGCGGCGACGAAGAAAGCGGGCCACTCGAGAACGGCTTTTTGAACCCTGACCCGGAGGAGATTAGGCGAGCCGAAGAAGATGGTTTGGCCATTGCTATTGCTGTCACAGACGACGACGAGCCAGAAGTTTATGACGTTGAACTGACGATGTATGACCCGGGTGCCAAGCCTCCAGTCTACAAGAACCGAAGATTCCAATGCTACGCATCGATGATCTTTCTGGTGACTCTTGTCATTATCATTGCGGTTTCTGCGATTGCGGCACAGAAAGGAGGTGAGATCATCCTGATCACTCAAGCGCCCTCTTCCGCTCCTTCTTCATCACCTACTACCACACGAGAAACAGCCGTGAGAGGAGAGCTGGCTCGAGTCATTGGAGAATTTGTGAATGAGGACGATTCACCCTACCAGAAGGCAATGGATTGGATTTTATACGAGGATCCAATGCTGCTGGACGAATTCAGTGAGAACTTGATCCAGCGATACGTGTTGGCTCTGTTTTACTACCAAACTTCCCAGGAAGGGCCATGGCTTTCCTGCAACCCTCCCCAGGAGGGCGAGAATCACACTTGCCCATTCTACGAGCACACAAGGCTTCAACCGAATAATGTTGTTGTCTGGGAGGAACGAAATGAAACGGAAGTGCGTTGGTTGTCGGAGAGACACGAGTGTGAATGGGCTGAAGTTTTGTGCCATCCTGAGACTGATGGAAATGTGATTGCGATTGATATATGTAAGGCACCATTGATGATGTGATTGAAGCTGTAACTTCTTGCGCTCACAGACTTGTCACTCCTTGTTTCTATCCGGTTCTTAGTGGGACAAAACTTGACAGGAACAATGCCAGAAGAGTTGAGGCACCTGGAGCGGTTGATGTGGTTGACACTTAGCTTCAATCCAATCACAGGCACCATTCCGGAGGTCTATGGTGAATTTCCCTACCTCACCATCTTTGAAGCCACACAGACCTTTATCACCGGCCAAATCCCTGGTGGCTTCTTTGAGCAGCAGAACTTGCTTCAGCTCAATCTTCCTTACAACATGATTACGGGTACCCTCCCGCCCGAGATTGGTGATTTGACCACTCTCCACTCTTTCTTCTTTTTCAACACTCTCATCTCTGGAACGCTGCCAACCGAAATGGGAATGCTTGAAGATGTCCGCAACTTGTGGTTGTATGACAACAACTTGCTTTCTGGCACCCTGCCTTCAGAGCTAGGTGAATTGAGCTTGCTGGATTCCCTGATGCTTGGTGCCAATAACCATACTGGACCTCTGCCTTCCGAGCTTGGTAATTTGGGAAACATGCATGAGTTCCTGTTCTCTGGTAATGACATGGGCGGCACTCCTCTTGCAGAAGAATTGTACAACATGTCCAGCCTGGTATATTTGGATATCACCGGGGCAAATTTTGGTGGAACCCTCAGCACTAACATTGAACGGATGACTTCCCTTCAGGGCCTCAAAGCGGCTGGTAATGACTTCTCTGGAATAATTCCCTCTGAGTTTGGACTGCTGTCCAACCTGCAGTTACTCTGGTTCCACAGAAATGAAGATCTTGCAGGAGACATGCCAATTGAGATTTGCCAGCTCCGGGGTCCAGAAAGCTTGATTTTCCTGAATGCTGACTGTGGTGGAATTGAACCTAGGATCAGCTGTCCCAGAGGATGCTGCACTGGTTGCTGTGATGAGTTTGGCCAGTGTCAACAGGTGTAGGCTTTATCTACTGTATGCTTTATTTATTTTTAAAATTGATTAGTTGAATCGATAATGTCTTTCTCGTTTTGTGCCCACGATCCCGATCAGCATGAAGCTAGCTGGGCATCTGAACCTGACGGTGGCGTTCATGATGCCATTGACGACAGCCTTTCCGGAGCTGGCTCGTGTGGGCGCCTGCAGCCTCAACGAAGAGGGCGCTGAGGTGACTGTCTTCTCTGTTGTCAAATCCTTGATCACAGTCCCAATACTGATGCCTTCTACGTAAGCTAGCCTGAAAGAGATTGGCTGTTATTGGCGCGGACATATTCTTGTAGCTAAAACTAGCATTCTGGTACATGTAGCTAGCAATTGATTTGCTGACACATTCGTGTTTTCTTACCTCTCACCACAGTCAAGGAACTGTGGCGACGTTCAGTTGCGGAAGGCACTTGAAGAGATGGGTGTCGCCCTCAAATCATTCTCTGCTGTCTCTCATTAACTTCGCACTGCCCCCTGCCGGCTTCTGTAAATAATAGATCTGATCGCTGCCTCAGCAGTCAGCCAGACCCCATTTAAAGTCCCCGATTCCCCCATGTACGCGCACAGGCCTTGTCAGCAGCAGTCAACAGTCAACAGTAGCTCAACAGTCTCCTCCACAGTTTAGCTCACCGGTTGTGCACCGGTACAGCCGTAGAAACCGGCGGCAGTCTCAGACACTCGTCGGCTTTCCGGTACCGGTACACCGGTACCTATGAGCTATGCCACACAGTCGATTCTCTCTTACATTTATAATTGGTGTGCAACCAGAGAGATAAATAAAGAGAGAAAGGAACTTTTAGTAGCCGCTGTTGCGCAGGCTATTTCCTAGCACTCACCGTCGTTTGGCTGATATGGGCAAATCTGCCTCCTGTTAATAAGCGCAATAGAGCCTGCAGGCCTTACTCTAGCTTTTGTATAGCTAAATATATTTTAGCCGGTAACAGATATGCCTGATCCCTAATGAAGGTTGCAATCTCTGTTCTTGTTCTTGGACATGGACTGACCTCAATATCAACTCACTCCATTCGCTACGACTGTAGGACAATGGCGCTTTGCCTCCTCCCCCCTGCTTGTTAGGCCACTGCCGCACTCGTAGCCTCCACATTACCCCATGTACACCCTCACAGTGCCCATTGCCTCTGCATGCATCGGCAGTTCGCCTGTGTCGAGATGACCGACTGAGTAACGACCATGAACCATGAACCAATGGAAGTCGAAATAACAAGTCCAGTTGACGACCGACGCACCGTAGTGACTGCGGACTCTAGCGACTATGGTAGACCACCGCACCGACTAGACTACCGACTAGACTACCGACACATTTGCAAAATATAAAGTTGACCTCGAGGCTGTTCGACGAATCGAAGACTACTTCCGCGGCGACTTCCACACAATGCCGCTATACAATTGCTACCACATGTGCAACAAGCTCTGTATGGTAGCCAGCATAACAGAGTTGATTTCCTCAATCCATTTGTTATTCTCCGTTCAAGGCATTACTGCTGTCAATAAGCGCTAACAAAATGTTGCCCGTTTTGTATCCAATTACGGTACCAATTCTGCTGCTAAAAGTCCACAGTGACAGGGCAAATGGCAACCTCAGCTCAACCCAATGCAAGGGAGTGTCCGTGACTATACTGGGAGGCAAGTGCCAGCATGGGTTAGGCTGTGGTTTGGATCTGGTGATGATATCACCGACTTGGTCTGTTGGCATGGGGTGGTGGCTCTCTTGTTGTTGCTGTTCTCTGGCTTCCGTCTAGAGTACCATTGAAAACTCCAAGCTGGTTCCTGCTGAAAACCTGGAACGAGAGTTCACATTTTGACTATAGAAAGTAACAGTACTAGCCTTTTTTCCTCGATTTTGCACACTTTACACGAGGCAGACTGACACAAACGACGGTGACTATCTAGCTAGTGAAGAACTCATTGCGAGCTGGTCCCTCTTGAAATGGCTGGAATGAGCCACTCAGATAGCAATCCAGATGCGAAGTGGCAACACCCGCAGACATGCCCAAGCTCTCACAACTGATGCTGAGCTATGCATATCTAAGATGCTCCTCAGCTTGCAAATAGGCCAGAAACTGAGCTTCATCTCTGGCTGGTCTTCAACACTGAACCCATGTTGAGCTACATGTATTCAATACTGGGGAAGTTACTAAGGGTTAGAGGGAACTATGTTGAGCTATTCAATGAGTCACTATTCCGAGTACTGATTTGGGAGAGGGTCACAAAAACATAGTGTTGACAATCTAAGAGAGAAATAAGGAATATTGATATAAGAGAGAATAGACTGTACGTACCAACTACGCAGCACGCACCCAAACATTTGGCTACTGTTCTGTCGCTGCATGCATGGTGGAGTTCAATATCTGCTAAATTTGGCTTTCTCACTCAACAATAACGAGCTTGCAAAAAAGTCTTACTATTGTGGTATCACCATGGTGAGAAACGGCAAAGGCTCCCCCAAATCCAAGGCTGCTACTGGTACCAGCGAGCAGAAAGAATCTGAAGAGTTTGATATCTTGGAAGTGGTCAAATCGCGTTCGTTAGAGTCTATTGAGGAGTGCCCTCCGAAAAGCCCAAGTTATGAGTCTCAAGACCTAGACGATGACATGGTGATGGAGAAGAAGAAGGAGGCCATCCATCGGCTTCCAAGAAATGAAACCTTGAACGAGACTGACGGTGAGGACTCAATCGGGATGGAGGTAACCCAGCAGAGGGCCAGTGCTGCTTCACTGCCAGTGGCAGAGGCCGCCTCCAGTGGACGACTCTCAGATGGAGCGGCAAAATTGAGAGTGGCCGGAGCAAAGAAGCAACATCAGGATTTCTGGAAGGTTCAGATGCAGCCTGCTGCCGCAGCAACCTCCACACATAATCTGGAACGCAACGAGATGATTACCAGGACGGGTAGTACTGACGAAGACTCTCTTGTGATGGAGGTTGTCCAGCAAAGGGCCAGTGCAGCCTCACTGGAATTGGCAGATGCAGGCAGAGTTGCCACCAGTGGACGACTCTCGGATGGAGCTGCAAAATTGAGAGTGGCCGGAGCAAAGCAGCAGCCTGCAGCAGCTGCTGCCAATTCCACACATAAACTGGAACGCAACGAAGTTATGACCATGAGGGACAGTATTGGCGGAGACTCTCTGGTTATGCAGGTAGTCCAGCAGAGGGCCAGTTCCGCTTCCTTGGAAATGGTACAAAGAGGAAACTCCTCCAAGGCATCTCTAGTAACTGCACAAGAGCAATCCCAACCAGGAGCCTACATGGGATCGCCAGGAAGGCAACCAAGTCGAGTTCGTAGTCTGAGATTCTCGCTAGTCGGACAAGGAGACTCTGCTGCTCTCGCCCTCCAAGTGCCAGAAGGATTTGCCGGCCAATCAGGCGACGATATTCGTGGAAGCAAAATGTCCGAAAAGTCTTCCGTTCTCTTCGATGGAACTGAGCACACGGTTGGAATGACGGTTCGTACTGCTTCTGACCTGTTTGCGGAGAAGGATACAACATCCCTTGATTTGGAAGCAGGAAGAAGAGCCAGAGGACACAACCCGACAAATATCTGGAAGCACATTGCGCTCGGTGGTGCACTGGCTCTCTTGGCGGTCATCGTGGCTCTTGTTGTGGTGGTTGTTTTGCTCAAACAACAGCAACAGCCAAGTCAGCAAGCCGAAAACAATCAGACACCTACAATAGCACACTCCGCCGCCATGAAGGAATTGGCAATTCGAAGCGCATTGGCGAGTCACGTTGGTGAACACATTTTGAATGCAGAAGACACTCCGTATCAAGCAGCAATGGATTGGATATTGCATAAGGATCCCATGCAGTTGGATGTTTTTAGTGGGAACTTGATTCAACGATATGTGTTGGCTCTGTTTTACTACAAGACATCCCAAGGAGGCCCTTGGATATCCTGCAACCCTCCAGAGGAAGGCAAAGACAACACCTGCTTTGTCAATGAGTTCGCTAAGAATCAGACAGGTGATATTGTTTATCAGAAACTGGATGAACCTGATGCCCGATGGTTGTCCGAAAAGCATGAATGTGAATGGGCAATGGTTCAATGTAGTCCTGGAAGAGACCAATCTGTTGTTGGGCTTGACATCTGTAAGTGTATGAATCCACTTTTCTTGGAGGTACCATCAATTGTGCTTGTGTCAACTCACAGTTCTTTCTGATTCAGTGGGACAAGATTTGAGTGGAACCATGCCAGAGGAGCTGAGATACTTGAAGCAGCTCCGGTGGCTCAGCCTAAGCCACAATCCCCTTACAGGGACGATTCCTGCGGTTTACGGTGAAATACCTTACCTCACCATCTTTAAAGCCACACAGACCTTTATCACCGGCCAAATCCCTGCAAGCTTCTTGGATCAGCCCAACTTGTCTGAGCTCTCCCTATCACATACCCTGATTACTGGAACCATACCTCCAGAGATTGGTGGCTTATCAAGGTTGAAGCATCTTTTCCTCTTTGACACGGCAATTTCAGGTTCCCTGCCAACAGAGATGGGCCTTCTGGAAGATGTCCAAAATTTGTGGTTGTTTGACAACAGACAACTGTCAGGCGCCCTTCCTTCAGAGCTTGGTAAGCTCAGCTTGTTGGACATGCTGAAGCTTGGTGCCAATAACCACACTGGACCCATACCCTCTGAGCTTGGCGACCTGGGCCACCTGGAGGAATTCTCACTCACTGGTAATGACATGGGTGGCACTCCGCTCCCAGAAGAAATCTGGAGCTGGTCCAGTTTGCAATTGTTTGACATTTCCCAGTCAAATTTTGGTGGCACTATCAGCACTCAAATTGGCCAAATGACGTCCCTACAGGGCCTCAAAGCCGCTGGTAATGACTTCTCTGGCACTTTGCCCTCGGAAATAGGATTGCTCTCCAACCTACAGTTGCTTTGGTTGCACAGAAATGAAGAGCTTGAAGGTGAAATGCCCAGTGAAGTGTGCCAGCTGCGAGGACTGTCCGCTTTGCAAATTCTGTATGCAGATTGTGGTGGAAGTAACCCTCAAATTTCTTGTCCATCAGGATGCTGCACAGGATGTTGTGACAATGAGGGCAGTTGTGGAGCTGTCTAGAAAGGTACGATGTAGGAGGGCTGAACGACTGACTCGCATTCCCAAGATACGGTACCTTGCAAGACTTGTCGTCCTGCTTTGGTGTCCTACTTGCGCACTGCGAGTTTCTGTTCAAATTCCTGCTTGTATGTATGTATGTATCTATATAGCTCTAAGTTGTCATCATAACTAGCAACCGACTCGTTTTCTGGTCCTTATCATATATTGGTTACGCGTTTATAATGTTACATCAACGTGTTGTCGCACGTGTGTTTATTTTGTTAGCCGACGACGATGGTTCGGTGTCGACTTGGACGAATCCATCATGATGATACGACTAGTTGATCGGAGAGCCGGATCGTCCTCGTGGTCCGTGGAGGATAACGTCGATGCAGCAAAGAGGTCAGAAGGAGTTGGAAAAGAGAGGGGTTGTTGATCTGCCTTGGGAGAAAATAACTTGGTCAGTCCCTTGGTGAGGCTCGACAATCGGCGGTGGTGCTTCTTGCTGCTCTTTCGGGATGGACTCATGCTTTGGGACTGTTGGATAGTAGTAGTAGTGGCTGCTTGCGATGACCGTACGACGCTTTGGCTCCCCAGGGAAGAATCTCTTCGATGGTGGCAGCCACGATCCGCGGCATGTTGCTGTGGTTTTCGGAGAACGAAAAAGGAAGAACTGGAAGACTGGTGGGAGGAGTGATCGTCCAACGGTTCCACTCGCAACCACGGATGATCCAGCGCTTCTGCCGCCGTCATTCGGACCGACTGATCCACCGCAATCAAATTGGCAATAAACTGTTTCGCGGCACGAGACACGTGTCCAAAATGGAAGCTCGGAAACGAGTACTCGGCTCGTGATATCTTGGTCATGGTCTTGCGTTTCGAGGATGGATCGTCAAAGGGCGATGCTCCCGTCAACATATAGTAGACGAGACATCCGACGCTCCACATGTCGGCCGGTTCGGAATATGGTTCCGCAGCGTGAAGGACTTCCGGTGACGAATATTTGCTAAATGTACGAGACCCAAACGGATCGTGCATGGCGAGATCGACCGTACTGCCAAAGTCAGCCAAGAGTGCATCGCCACCCCGCACCAAGATATTTTCGGGTTGAATATCGGCATGAACAAGATGTCGCGAATGCAAGAATTGACAGGCTTGGAGTATGGATCGGGTCATTTGCTTGGCCACTTGTTCGTCCAAGGGACCGTCCTGTACTACCTTGGAGAGTAGATTGCCACCCGTGGCCAACTCCATGACAACATAGAGCTTGGTTTCTTCTTGCGCATGACAAGGTTCCTCGAATACTTCCACGAGCTGTGACAAGGGAGCGTAATCGGGTTGTTGTCCTCGCGTCAAAAAGTGCAGCATGTCCACTTCATGATAGTCGGCTGCCGTGGGATACTCAAACGTCTTGACACAGTAACGAATGCCACTCTCTCTGTGAAGACATTCCCAAATCTCTGACGACTGGCATGTAAAGACTTTGCGTGTCAAAATGTACGAGTCCGAAAAGGCTCTGTTCAAAGGAATACTGGCATCCGGGTGGTTACCCGATTCCGTAGAGGCTTCCGTGGTACTCAAGTCTTTGTTGGACAATGATCCCATGGAATTGGACCGACTTAGAATCATGTTCATGAGCTGTCGAGACCGTCGTCGCAGGTGCGATCCCTTCTTTTTGCGGGGTGGCGACAATGTTGGTTCCGGCGGCATGGTCTTGTCGTCAGCAGCAGTCGTGTCATCTTTTTTGGATTCGTCAAAGGAGCGACGGGCACTGCGTTTGGAAGAGCTGGATGTGTTGCTTATTCTGGAAGAAGGAGTCACAGGAGATGGTTCTTCTTGCAAGGGATGATTGGAAGATGGAGATGGCAAGTCGTCCATACCGTCTGCGGTAGGGGAATCCTTCTTTTGGAGTCCGTTTCTCTTGACGGGAGTCCTCATTCGACTGACCATTGTTGTAGTATTGGAATTAGTGTCCTGTTGTTGTGTGATACTATGACTGATTGGGTTGCTCTGAGGCTGCTGCTCGCCATTGTCGACAGCTCCATTGATATTAGTATTGGGACAGAGGGTATTCCAAATGGAAGGACTGGGAACTTGAGGAAAGACAAGATCTCTCAACTGAAAGTTCCCAAAGGTTTCTCCACAGCCGCAGCTATCATCGCCGTATTCCACTTCGGACAAATCGTGGACTACGGGGTAGAGCTCATTGGGAGATGGAAGTTGGTTGCTGCTGTTGCTCGAGTGACGATGATGATGATGACGGCCGCTCATACTGTCTGACTGGAAGTGTACGTTGTGTACAATTTGTGTACAACAAGTGGATGACGCTTGAATGAATGAAGCGCTTAGCTTGTGAATGAGGCAGGCCACGATGAGGTATCTGATCTTGCCGTCACGCTAAAGCTGTCGTGATGGCTTGCTTCAGTATAGCAGCAACACAGACTGATCCAATCGATGGGCGAAGACAGCACTGTAGTGATGAGATATACTCACACTCGTCTGGTCTTGGTAGTATAGTAGGAGTGTTATGGATCTGCGATGGCTACGGTAGGAGTCGACTTTGTCGTCGTGGAGTTCCACGATATCAGATAGATGATCAGATTGCTACTCACTCGATGATTCGATTCTACTTCAAATTTAAACTGCAAAAGGAAAGGCACCTCTATCGACTCAGGTCAGCTCCGTTTGTGGAAATGGTGGTGCGTTCGTTTGAACGATAGAGGGTCGGTTTAGGAGTGGGGCGTGTATGTATGTGTTTGCAGTCTTTATCTATCCTCTTGACCGGTTGTTGTTGTCGAGGTGATGTGGTGGGCGATGGCAATCCCAATTTTGGGAACGCATGCCAACAAAAATGAAGTCTCAAATTGTAACCTGAAATTTGAAGCAGGGGTTACTCTATGTTCCCCATGCTTGTCAATACTTAATGATATAGTAAATCTCTCGGTCCTAGTGATAAGAGCGGTGCAGCCAAACATCTTTGAGATGAGGGGGGGCCAACCTACCGGTACCACCGTAAATGTACCGCTGCCGATGGCCATACTTGTAGCAGTGCTCACCAATCCTGTCCAACTCTAGCCAGCTATCTAGCTATCTAGCTACTGGTGTTGTAGCCAACGATCTTAGCTTGAAGGCTTTGAGACTTCAGTGCCTACCGAATTGTAGCCTACTGTTAGAATTGTCATCAAGCGGCGAAGAGATTCTACAATTAAATGTGGATACAATGTTTCCTCTTCCACTACCTGGGAAATGCTGATACTAGCTAGTAGTTATTAGTTATCTTTCGGAAACTGACTTCTTGGCGCTGTGGCTTTGTGCAACGCAGTGAGAGCCTTCGAAGCTCAGCTTCCCCCCCCCCCTTCTCAGCCTGAATGGTTGAATGGCGCTGGTTTGCGGCTTTGCGGCAACCGTATTATGCTTGCACCGGTAATGTCAATGATACCTATGACTGTCACATAGGGCGGAGTTGTTCTTCAGAACTACACGCGGAGTGGGAAGAAACAAAACCATTGACCAATCAAAGCACAAAAGATATATTCGTTGACTACTTCAAATCCGATAGTAAATGAAGATTCGTTGTGGGAGCTGTTGTGGTGGTGGGAGTGATTATTGTGGGACTGGACCAAAATGTTGGGAAGTCGGACATGGTTCGTTCCCCGTGAAGTCCAACGGTAGCAAAGTGGCAACCTCTTTCGCCTTCCCCAAGCAAAGGTACGGTATCGTCCATCACTCCCAGAATCATGCATGAATTTCCTGACAATGGGACAGTCGGAACAAGGCACATTGTCCGAAGATCAATAAGGAAGGTTCAACATCTTGCCTGGTTTGTTTTCCTCCTTTTGGGGACTTCGTAGCTACTCGCAGCAAGAAAGGAATTTGCACGAAACTAGCCATTCCAAAATTAGTGGTTGTAACGTTTACTATTGTATTCCTACTCTACTCTACACCCAACTCTCCGACACCCGCGAGTAGCTCTTGTGCTTTGGCCAATCCCACTTCTTGGATGAATCCTTGAACCCATCCTTGCATATCCGACGAAAAATGCGTCGTCCCTACGTTGAGCAAATTGAATCGCTCCAGATTGCGTTGGTCGCCTTTGTTTTCTTTGATGCCTTTCTGTGGTCGATTGGCTTGTCCGCCGTGGATATTGGTACGGGATCGAGGATCTTGTCGAAACAGATACTGTTCCGGCGTGCCCACGTAATGATTGATTTTGAGATAGCTCGTCGATGCAAGTCCATCGGCACCGGCCACTCCAACGCAATGGCGACTACTAACTTTGTGGACATTGGAGGGTTCCTTGGCAATTCGATCAATGGCTGTCAAGTGTAGTACGTTTTTGCCGAATTTGATGTGTTTCGGCGTTCGATAGAGGAAATTTTGTGTGAGCATGTTGTGTGGATTGAGTAGTTGTTGCGATTGTGAGGATGTCGTGTTGTCGTAGGGAAGATATCGTTCGACCAACGATGCATTGGCTTGTTGACTTCCAACTTGATATCGTTGCACGTAAAGACATTTTTCAGTCTTTTTCGTGACGCTTTGATGATGGGCCAGAAATCGGAGCACAGATCCTCGTTCGGTAATGGGAAACTGGCGTGCCATGTCTTGTAGCTCGGGCGTGGTCGGAAATTTAAAGGATGACGTTTGTTCTCCTGACAAGTATGGATAATTAAGTGACAGGAATTCATCGGTATCGGTAAGAAAGACCCATGGAATTTTCATGAGTTTTTTGTGTCTGTGTACATGTCGCAGAAACTTGTTGTAGAATGTGGCTTGTCGATGCCGATGTTTCATGAGCTGTGTATTCTGTTTGTAGATATCTCGTGTCTGTTTGGTGATTTTTTGTTCGTTGATAAAGTCTTTGTCATGCCAAATTTCAATTTCCATAAGGTCCTTCCACCGGTCGAGAATTTGGAGAGGAGATGTGACAGAGGAAGGATCAATGACAACGACGAGGTATCGAAGTGGGATGACAAACCAATGAAAGGCCAACCATTCAATAACCCAGTGATTGTCGTCTTTGATCAACAAGCAGGCGCCCATACCCACAGGTCTGGTAGTCATTGATGAAGGAGCCGTAATAGTATGGTTGGAAGCTGGCTTGGACAAAGTTGTCGTGTGGGTTGTTGTTGTAGCTGGAGCTGAATCCAGAACTGGTTTAGTTGCTTCCTCTGAGGTGCTGATTGGTTTATCCTGATCCCCACCTTGATCTGATTCAGCTTCTGCAGGTCGATCCTTAGCTGTCGTGTCCTCCTGTTCCCCTCCTTCAGATTCTGTGTCTTGAGGTTGATCTCCTTGGGATTCTGTTTCTGTTTCATTTTTGGATGGTTTAGGTTGATCTGCTCCTTCTTCAGAGGTTCCTTCAGTCTGATCTGCTTCTGCTTCGTAAGTGGGTGTGTCCTCCATGTCTCCAACTATTTCTTCCAAAGTCGTATTTCCAGGGATGATATCTGACTCTTCTCCAGTGCCTCCTGCTGGATCAGATTCAGAGTCATCGTTTTGTTCGTCAGCTTCTGATTCAGCAGTCTCTTCCGTTGTTGTTGTTTCTCCTGTTTCGGTTGTTGTTGTTCCATCAGCTGCAGCATCAGTTGTATTTCCTTCAGTTCCAGGGGTTGTTTCCTCAGCTTCAGCTTCAGCTGTTTCTTCTTCCAGCGATTCGTCTACCCGTGTTTCTTCAGTTTCAGTTCCTTCGGTCTCAGCTGCCTCTTCTGCAGTCGTCGAATCTTTAGCTAAAATTTGATTGGTCTTTTTTGGAATTTCTTCAGCTTTGTTTGTCTCTTCTGGAGTAGAATCTTCAGCTGTGTCTAAAGTTTTCTCATCAGGCTCAACGGCAGCCTCCGATTCTGAAGCCTTTTCTTCTTCAGGCTCAAGTGGTGCCACTAGGGATGATGAAACGGCTGTTGTATCGGTATCTGATGATTGTGTCTGTTGTTGTGCAGTTTTTGTGGTCGTCAAAGCCCTATTAGTTTCCCCCGACACTTCCATGCTTCCACTGTTTTTATCATCCTCTGATAGTAATTGATCACTCTGACTGCTAATGCTGCCCGCATTCGTATTCGTGTAACTTTGCAGATCCATCTTGGTCACTTTGCGAAAGGTCCCACTCATCATTCCAATGCCAAATGCCACCAAACCAAGGCGAATAATGCGTATCAGTCGCGGCATACTACTGCTGCTGCTTGTATTATTGCTTGTAGAGGGTGGTCGCTTCATCTTATATCTGGAGAGTGTTAATATAATAATAGCAGCAGATCAAAGGAGAAAAACAACTGATGCCAATTGAGACAGGTGGCACGATGGCACAATGTCCGTTGGATGAGAATCTTGGCGGTGCTCGAACGATCCCAATGACCCGAACTCAAATTCAACAAAAAGCACATTTTGGGGAATGTTTGCTTCTAAAATAGCTATATTGGCTCGAAATGACCCTCATTTTTTTGTTTTGCAAGATTTACAGTCAAGATTGCAAAGAGTTAAGACTGTTCCGTGAGGTCGCGGGATTGTTGTAGGAGTCAATGTTTGGTGGAAATCGAGTCGAGTCACGCTGTCATCTGCAGGTGCAGGCCATGCCAGGGGTGGGGTGGAGTTGGACAAAGACCCAATGCATGCATGCATTGACGGAAGACTCTTGGAAGGGATCACACAATGCAGCTACGGCACCGGTATAGTCGTACGTACCACTGGGAGCCAATGGATCATGGCTGTGTTCTGTCTTGCAGCCAAAGAAAGGTTTGCGGAAGTAAGGATCACAAGCAACATCAAAGTGGGCAAAAGCAACACACAAAATCAAGCAATCCCCCCAAGTCAAAAGAAAACAGCAACAATGCTCATCACAATGACGGTCTTGTTCTTCATGTCAATGATCCAACAAATATTCTCAAACTGGAGCTTTGCAAACCAAGAAAGTGATCACCATGTCGGAAAAAGCCCCGCGCTGAAAGTGGCCTGACAACAAGGCCAAGCCCCGTACCGATATAGTATACCGGTATAGTCACATGCAGTCCACCAATTGCTTGATGTTGACAAGAAGAACAGTTTTGCAAAGGGCACAGGACGATAGGAGAAGCTGGTCGCGGGGCACCATGATAGTACGATGTAGCAAGACAGAAACGAAGAAGTCTCCCTAAAAATAGAAACCGTCCTACAGCTTTGCAAAATCGCCATAGATTTCTGCTTCATCAGATGATTGTCGCTATTCGTCGTCATACCGTAGAGCTCCCCCTGTTCTTGAAAGGCACTTTCTAATATAGTACATACACTTGATCTCTATTACCACTCCTTCATCACCTCACCTCACACATGCTTCGCCTGCGCGACCTCTTCTTGCTTCTTTTTCAATTTTTGGGTCACAGAGGCCGAGATTTCGGCTGGTGTCATTGGATTGTTGCCTATACTTTGTTGTTGCGAAGCATGCTGATTCTGATAGGTTTGTCTTCGTCTTTCCAGCGCTTCCATTCGTCCCGGTTCAATCTCCAAAGCTCGTTGCAAGAATTGACGATTGTCCTTGTTGGACATGTCCACACCGCTAAGAGACAGTGGATTGTGTGGCAGTGGGTTGGGCGATTCCCCGTGAAGTTCCTGTCGCTTATTGTTCTGCTGCTCGGACGATTCTGGTTTTGCTGATGATGAGTCAAACTGCAATACTTGTTTCAAGGCACTTGGATTGTTGTTGTGTACGTCTGGAGACTTCTTCTGAAGATGTGGGCTGTTCTTTCTTTGCGACTCAAACTCCAATGCTTTTCGCCTTACTCGTTCCTTTCGTTCTTTGTTGGACGCGTCCGCCCCGTTATTATTGATTGACATGTCCACCAAAGAGGGAGTTTGTTTGGGTGGTGGTTTCAGTTGGGCCCAATGATCGTCCGTATCCCCTGGCTGCTTGGTCCAAGTGCCACAATGTGCCAGTTCATCTCCTTCTCGATCCACCAGTCGCTTCATGACGGGATCCAGCATCCATTGTTCCGGTGTGAATTGTAGCTGTTTGGTTTTGTGATCGTACTCGAGAATGGTGCGAGACCATGTGAGATCCTGATTCGTCACGGGATCCATGCCCATCCAGTGGATTGCCGACAAAGAAAAGTCGCTGTGCGTATGATAGACCTTTTTGGCCGTCACAATGGTGTACCAATCGGCCCAGAGTTGCATTCGTTGTACTTGCTTTTCTTCTGCCGGTTTGAGTGTTTGTTCGTCGGCTCGTGTGGGTTCTGGTGTCCCCCAGGTTCGTCGGAGTACGGAATGTTTCACATAGGCCCACTTGGGATGTCTCCAACCAAACTTGTTCTGGAACAGTTCATACCATTCGACATTGTTGGTGACCAAAAAGGGATATTCGGTTTCGGTAGACAATAGTTGCCCCAGTGCATCCAACGACACTTCATCGAGTCCCTTGCGATAATCAGAGTGTCCATCTTCTTTCCGCAAATGCACGACGGTGGAAGGAGGATGACTGGGATCGTAGGGTAAGGAGTCGAGTAGTTCCCGTCGTGGTTTGTAGTATTTCAAGAAAAAGTTGGGTGGGACACTACGCCATCGTACATACGTGTTGGCTTGCATATGAATGACATGTCGTTCCTTGGATGCCAGCAGTTCCTTGAGCTGGCATTCATCTGTATGAATAGGCAATGATGAATGTGAAAGTGATGAAAGCGATGTAAGGCGAGGAAAGAGACTGTAGCCATAGCAACACAACAACTCAACATATATATATCATACATACCTGGTGGATCCATAAAGTTGACCATTTGCACAATATCCTTCCAGATCAAATGCTCCGGTCGTGTCTCTGCTTGTTCCAGGAGCAAGCCACACAAATCGGCATGCACGGGATCCTTGTACTCGAATGCCTGTAAGAAATGAAAGCGCTTGATGACACAGACAATGCGACCGAATTCTTCTCCCAGTAGATGCATTGCCAAAAGTCCATTCATGAGGTTTCCGGCGCCTTGTCCGCCCAGCTTTTCCCCTTGAAAGACGAGGAATCGATGCTGGTCCAAATCTGCCTTGGTCACGTGCGTTGTTGGTTTGTGGGGTGGATGAATGTGGTCTACATATTCTTTGGGAGCTTTGGGTCGATTGTTGTTGTTGTGGCTGTGGCTTTGTGGTGGCGGATTCGGATCGATCAATGTGGGAAGTGTTTTTGTGTTGGGTCTCCGCAGGAGCGTCAAATAGCCGATGTCGTGGGGCGTAGGATCATCATCGTCACTCTTGATTGGATGGATGAGATTCATGGGGTTGTTTTGCTGTAACAGATCGAGTCGTCGTCGTTGTTGTTGTTGCTGGTTGTCTTGCTCATTTTCCATCATGACTTGTGTCAGTCGGTAGTGACTGAATGCCAGTGTCGCAAACCAACACCCCAATGCCACGAGTATCAGCATTCGAATCCTCCGAGAGAATGCCATGGGAATGTCGAGCAACTTTTTCTGAATGATGTTCGTTCTGTGAGGACGGCGGCGTCGCCGAGGTGGATGATCCTTGTGGCTGTCGTCTTGGTCTTGGTCCACGTCGACCGACGACGAAAGATGGCCCATGGTTCCCATGATAGTACTGTACGAGTAGTGAATCGAATCTGCGATGAATGTGTGTCTCTTTGAGTCTGCAGAAAGACAGACAACAAGCAAAAAGCCAACAGTTGATCCAGTGTCAAGTCAAGTCAAGCAAGAGGGTTCCAAAAGACAAAATAAGAAAGCGACAAGCGAAGAAGCCAAAAATGTGAGAAGGAAACAGGGTGAACGCCAGCCATCACAAACGACAATGGGTCATGAAAGGTGGGTCACGAGTGTGAAGAAAGATCTCCTGGAGGTTTACACAGTTTAACAGGCTTCTGTATTGATGAGATCGACCATGACCATGACAAGGAACTGTGAGAAACAACAAACACAACCAACAAGTATTGATCATTGATCAGCACACTCGTCGGACTATCGGACTACTTGGAAGTAATTGGACCATCTCTTTGTGAGTTGCAACAATGTTACGTTCTAATAATAAAAAGAATCCGGGAGAGATAGAAGGATCTAGCAGCGAAGAGTTGTTGGCGGAGGATGCGGCCATGATGATGTCTGACGATGGCGGCGACGAAGGCCTGTCTCACCGTCCCGGCAAAGCTCGATCTCCCATGATTGATGAGAGTATGATTTTGTCGGACAATGAAGAAGACTACGATCCCTATCATCATCATGGACATGGACAACAACCATCCAGCGCTACTAGTGGCAACAACAGCAGCAACGCTGCCAACCAGAACAACACGAGTACTGCCAGCAGCAATACTGCTAATAGCCAACATACGGGTAGTAGTGCTAGACCACCCAAGAACAAGTACTGGACGGGAGGACGCAAGAAGCATACGTCAAGTGCCAACGCACAGGCAGCTCTTCTGGTGGAAGACAAACCGTGGAGATCACGAGGTTCCAACCATCACCCTACTACTAACACTGGCAGTAGTACTCCCAAATCTCCCAGTCGCTTTTCCCAACTCGTCATGCCCAATCGAGGCTTACAGGCAGCGGCTGAATTACCACCCACACCCAACTTTGCTAGTGCGAGTACCACCAGTAATGCCAGTACAGCAATCACAGGAGTCAGTCCCAACGACGCTAACACTCCAAACAACAACAATGCCAAACGACCATTGCTCAAATACATTCGAGGATTCACCAATAATGTCAGCAGTCCCTCGTCGCCACGAAAGAATCGATCCATGGACAATAACAATAATCCACCACCCAATTGGAGTGACGGTGACGACGACGATCAATCATCCATGTCGTCGTCCGATTCCGACATGATTTCCTACTCGTCTCTGGATTCCATGGATTCCGACGATGACCTGGTACTAGCGAGAGACGACTATACCCATCATCCGGAAGAAACACAAATTGGTTTCTGGAATCAACTCCCCTTTGTCCCGGCACATTTCCTCTACGATGCTACCGAAGCTACACCCAATCAGTTGCCCTATCTCGATCCGCAACTCAAAACACTATTACTACAAGATGCTTCCCAAATTGCCAATTTTCAGTTTGTCCTCGATCATCGCCTCTATGTCAGAGCACTCTTTCAATTACTGGCCGAACGAGAAGAAATGGGCGTCGAAGATTCCATTCACGACGATCAAAATATTATTAAAAAGGGACCCCTCCGAAAAAAATACCTCGGTAAAGCCAATTACAAATACGTCGAACTCCGCAAAGGCAATTTGGTCTATTTTGGCAATGATACGGGGGGAGGACGGAAAACGATTCATTTGCGATCGGCTACGGCGTCGTGTGTGGCGGTGGACGATGATGATAATCCAGGCAATCATCATAACGCGGCCGTACATCATCATCATCATCATCATGCCACGACACCGACTCCAGGTTCCAGCGCCAATAGTGGTGGAGGCGGCGGCGGCGGTGGTGGAGGAATCAATACCATCATTCCCATTGGTGCTGGAATTACCATGAGTGGCAGTGGTCCCGCCATGCATCAAGCGGCCGATTCGCTCAAGGCGGGTTTGACCAGTGCTGTCAGTGCCACCGCATCGGCTGCCAGTACCATTGCCGGAGGCGCACCACAAGCCACGGCGGTGGGATTCGAATTTCATTTATGGGTCGAAGGAAAACGATATGCATGGCTGGCTAACTCGAAGCATGAACGATCGTCGTGGGTCAATGCCATTCGACAAGCCATGATTGGCGTCAAGAATAATAACAACAGCAGCAATAATAAAGCGAACAATCATGACGATGACTGGGGCATGACACTCAATGCGGCCAATACGATTACTGCCATGGCAGCAGCACCCACATCCAATTTACAACAAAACAATGACGATTATTTGGTTGGCGGAACCAGTCACGAAGAAGCCTTTTATTCCTATCAAAAGTTACAGTCGCAACTTTATCATGCCGTCACATTGTCGGATTACTTGGAAAGTTTGTTGTCACTGGCACCTCATCCCGATACACCCTCTTCCACATCACCCGCACTCCAAATTCCGTTGAAATGTCTCGGAGAGGATCTCATCCAGAAAACCAGAAATAAAGAAGATGACGATCATGACAATCGCCAACAACACAACAAGGCTGGCATGTCCCAACGACGACGATTGCAAGAAGGCATTGCCGAATTTTGGGAGAGCATGACATGCTATGATTTTGCCATTAACGGGCATGTCATTGACAAGGACAGTCCGTGTGCGGCCGAGCGTATTGTGGGATCGCTCGTGCGATGCATTTTGGATTACGATCGCAGTTTTGCCGAAAGCAATGAGGTTCCGCCTGCCAATCGCATTTCCGAACTCGATGCCGTCTCGTATGCCCGAAGTATCCTCTTGCTCATGATCAAGAGTCGGACATCCGGGGATGTCGAGTTTGCCGTGGAGAATCTGTTACAGAATGATCATCTCATCATGCTGGAGAGTATTGATGCCTGTTCGGCGTTGTCCAGTACGTCAGATGCCTTGCATATTGATGTTTCCTTTGCCGGGGATGATTTGATTGATCACAATGATGAAACAGAACAAATATCCAATGAGGCAAGTGGCTGGGTCATGGTGCGTCGAAGCAAGTACAATAGCTGGAAGTCTCGCTTTTGTGTCTTTTCGGAAGGAGTCTTTAGCTACTATGAGAATGCCAAGCCGCGACCGCACGGACTGCGTGGACAGCTGCTTCTGTCGGGAGCGACCCTCAGTGAAGTGGATGACGAAAAGGATCGCGCTCGGGAGGACTCGGGGTTGTACATTTTGCGGTTGACTACCAAGGGGCCAGAGAAACGGGAACGGCAGTTTGGTTTCAAGAGCAAGGAAGAATTCTTGGAGTGGAGGGAAGTCATTGAGAACGTGTTGGATAGTTGCGATTCCAACTCGATGCGGCAGCCCAATGATGACGATGATGAATTTGATCCGCGTGGGGCGCAGGGGCACAAGAAGAGCAGGAGTCTCATTGGAGGTGGGACGAAACTGATTAGCTACGCCACGGATGAAAGCATCAGGGCGGCCAAGGCAGCCACCAGTTCTTCCATCAAGGCTGTCAAAGGTGGAACCAAGATGGCCAAAGACGCGGCGGGTGCATTCACGAAAGGAGCGACAAATCTCATGTTTCGAAGTATTCGAAGCGGAAGGGCAAGGGCCAAACGTGGCGAAACTGCTAGCACTCGTTCGATTCGAAAGGTCCCGTCCATGCAAATGTTGATGGAGAAAACGAGGAGCGACAAGACCGGCCGACGAGAGCCGACGGTCCAGGTTGTGATTCAAGCTACCAGCGAATTCAGCATCATTCCCAGGACAGGCAGTGGTCCTGGGGATGAAGCTGTGGTGTAAGTCGAGTCCTGCCGTTGCTTGCTTCTTCGACTGCTGCGACATGATGTTGTTGGTGGGCTGTGTTCATTCTCAGATTTCGCTCTTTTCCTCTACTTTCTTTTTTTTGTAGTACTGTGCGGGTCAAGTTCCTGCAAGCGTATCTGTTATCGGGTGGTTCTAGTGGCCGTCTCGCTCGAGGCGACGCCATGCTAGAGTACACGTTCATTGACGAGAATCCAGGTTTGGCGGACGACGACGAAAACGACAACTAAGTCTGACGCGGCTTCGGCCATTTCCCTTTTGATCGCCCAATGTTGGCACTGAAGGTGTGCGCACAAGATAGCGGCGATCACCAGCTGTGTGTGGGGGTGCATGGTTTGATATTTGTGCTATAGTGTGAGAAAACCAAATGCATAACAAATATAGTTAACATTGAATATTTACATCTGGCTCTATTACTTCTTTCGCATCTGTTGCCGTTGTAGCGAGCTCCGATAACCGAAGCTTGACAAAGGTTCTTCCCGTCTCCTCCCACGGGCAAATACCGGTAATACTTACGGGTACTTTGAGGAGTCCAATTATCTTATCAGATTCTCAGTCATTCCAAGTTTCCCTCTACATGTATCTATTCCTTCTTTCGCATCTCTTTCCGCTGTAGTGAGCTTCGATCAACGAAGCTTGAAAAAGGTTTTATTGCCTCCCACGGGTACTTTGAGGGGTGGAGTGTGCCATTCCAAGTTTCCAGGTAGCACCTCGATTTCTTTTGGCTTTCCTTCTTGGTCTATCTGCTCACTGTCATCGTCAGGTCTATCAAAGAGCGATGGAATATTGACCATCGTAATGACAGGTATGATGATACCAAAGATCATGACTAGTAAAACGGTGTGGTTGTTGTGGTAGGTTATCAGCAAGCTGGAACCGGCCAAGAGTACAATCGATGTACCAGCAAGCTGGGCCATGGGACAGTCGCACTCCCAACATGACAGTTGTATCACTACTTTCTGGCTGTTGCCGCGGTATATCCACGATAAGTTGACTAGTATTAGTGCAATGGCACCCCACACAGCCGAACCAAAGATGATCATAATTCCTATTGCCTCTTTGCTGCTTCCACTTTCGCCGTGAAAGAATGTGATGACCCCCACTGTTCCCAGAATTCCATAGGTAACCCCACTGATTGTAAAAAGCACGAGAGTCAGATTGCAAACGATACGTGTCAGACGGGCAGCTTTTTCTCTGGCCAAGCAGAAACAAAGACGATCGCAACATGTCTTGTCTTTCAGAGACGATTTCGTTGTCCAAGAGGAAGGAGAGTCGAGTTCAGGATCATAGGGAGTCTGAGTCTTCCCAACTTCCTGGTCCTCGATCTCAATGATAGCGTCATCTTCGCCTTGAAACTCTTGATACCTTTCGTTGCGATATACAATACAGCAAGAACCTCCTCCCGAGGGATTGTTGTCAATTCTGCCAATGACGATAGATACCATAACGATACTTTCTTTTGACGCTGAGCTCTTGTCGAAGAGATTTCCCCCTGTTGTAAGTGCCTTATTTTGCCTTTTTTAACCAAGCCTAACGTATCCCTTTGCCAATGCCTTTTTGCCTTGATTGGAGATGCTCGTCTGTGTTGCCTTGTTGAATGTTGAATGTTGAATGAATGACACAGCCTGTCAAAACAAAATCTCGCGAATTGCGTTTGGCGATGATTTCATGTGGCTGTCTCATTCTCGCCTCGCTCGGGAAACCCAGTCGAGTGACAGTGAGTCGGGTGACGAGTCGGGTCGTGAGGGAAATCGAATACAGTCACACATAGGTTCACAGACGACAATAGCTGCCCGGCTCGGATTTTCGTGCTATCGTTCTGAAGCATTTGCCTTAAATTATTTGCTAAAGACATATTAAGTGTTATACAAGGCCCCTTGTCATAATCAAAGTCAACGTTTGTCTTGATTGTAATGCTAAACAGTTACAACCGAGGTACAGTCCTCGGAACGATGCAACAGCGAACACATATTATTATTATTATTAAGATGGCAGTATCCA